TCATTCGGTATGATTTTGATCCGGTAAGCTAATAATATTCAAGTTTTGCTCTTTCAACAAACATTATTCCATAAATACGGCTCAATGAGATAGAAACATAGGATAGGGTAACTGGATGCTACCGTCACAACAATTGATTAAGTCATAAATCTTTTAATGAAGCAGCTTTCCTCTTCATTTACTCAATTTCTTCCTTCACCGTATCTCTTATTATCATTCTGATTAGCGCATTTTAAATTTAATCTACTTAACGCTGCACTTAACGCTAAATTTAAACCATTTAAACACTGTAACATTTCATATTGCAGTATGGCAAAAGATCAACAAGTAAGATATCAAAATCGGATGAACATTGTTCTCTGCTCTCAAATTATGCTGATTACAGTGATTATCAAGCATTTTGATCGCAACTATTACCAACGCTGAGGATTAACTTAATTGGAAGTAAAAACTGCAAAAGACTGCTTGCAAGTTAATGTCAAACTTACCGCAATGTTTTCATTGCATTTTCTCGTCGTATGGCATTTTAATTTCAAATTTTAAATTGAACGCATCTCTTTTACTGTTCTATCTGTAACATTGATGCTTTAGATTGATCTGTTAATATGCTTGACAAGTGTGAAAACACATAATCAATAATATCCTCCAAATTGTTATGATACAAATCTTTCATAAAATTCTAATCTTGTCTTATGATGCATCATTTATCTGCAGAAACTTTGGTCGAAAAAAGAAGATTACGTTTATTTTAGAAGAATCAATAAGTTATAGTAAGCCTGAGCATTCTTTGAAATGTTGAAAAAACGTTTATCAAATAATCATAGAGTTTCAAACTCTTTCAGAAGAAAATATATTGCGAGAACTGCAATATTTAAAAGCTCAGGAAGCCATCTCACCATAATTTCCTCTTATACGGATTTATACAATCAATAGCATCGACATAATCCACAATTAAATTTGGCTAATTAAATCAAACTCTTTGCTAATTGTTATGAGTTATGCAAGAATTTTGCTAGCTTGTTTCGGTGATCACAAAGAAGAGAGGGAAGTAACCTTTGACAATTACAACAATGGTGACTTCAGCATGTTTGTAAACAACAGCAATGAATCCAAGAATTATCTCTAAAATTCTTATGTTAATAAATCTATAATCAGTTGACAGATTGAATTTGGCAAACAACTCGAATACTACTTCGGAATGGATGAAAGAAAAGACAGAGAAATTCTGGATTTTGTTTGAATGAAAAGCAAGTATTTTGCACTTGGAATTTTGGGTTATTATCACTAATTTCACTCATAACGTTTCTTTAAAAACAATAGATTCGGATGGCGAAAATTGTATGCATTTCAAATTGCGAACCGACTGTGGAGCAAGAAAACGAATATCAATTTGATTCTGAAAAAAGATGTCAAGAATAGATGGCGGAGAGATGTTCAAATGAATTTAAGCTAGACAATAGAGATAGCCTAAGAGCGCATCTGAATCAAGTTGACCATACTAGGTCAAATAAGTAGATGGAGTGCAGTGAGGAGGAGTTGGAATAGCGGTTATTTGCGATGTACCTTTACTACGTCAGAAGTTGACCCAGAAAGAGGATAAATGTCTCGGTCACACCTCTTTAGCCGCAGCAAACGTTGTTGTTCCGTTTGGGAAAATGAGTTTACCTAATTGGAGAATGAAAACGGGCAGATGCTTTTGCTGTGAAGGTCACTGCCGCCTTACTCTACTCTTTGGGTAACAACCTGTTCTTTCTATCAAACAATCGAAATTTCTCGAGGGATGAAAAATATGTCAATAGCACGAGAGCGCGGAACAAAAAATGTAAAGCGACATTTGAATGATATATCACAAGCACTTCTCTCATCATATTCCTTATAATCATAAAAGGAGAGATGATATTAAACAGCCAATCCTAAAAACTTTGCATTTCTTACTGTAAAGCAGTTTAATTTCATGTTTTCAGATAACATCATCCAATTTCAAAAAGAGCAGTAATATTTATATGATTGCTAAGTCCTTTCAAATAGATGCGCTTCTGAATATGCTCACTTTTAAAATTTGCAAAGTATGCATGGATAAAACTCGCAATACGCGCATTCATGCAGATTTACACGATGCCCCGAGGATATATACCCAATTGCCGGTTGTGTATCAGGTTTGTAAAACAAACTTCTGTTCTTAATCACCGAATCACCAACCCGGAGGGCTTATGGTCAGCGATCTGTTAGCCAGTAGTAGTAATAACCACTATGATAATAGTGATAGCAATAACGATTTAGCATCAAGAAATCTCCTTTTCTTCGAAATAACCCTTCCTGTCTAACTCAAATTTTATTTTTCAAGTAATCCGCTTAAATTTCCTTACAATGGGGAATAATAATTATGGTGACCTGAATTTCTTCTGCCTGCTCTTCCTCTTCCTACTATACTGAATCACAACAACTTGATTTCGAAATCAATTCAATCACTGTTCCATGATGTGATCTCTTCTCTTTTTATCGAAATTAGCATTTCAATAGCTGATTCTTCCAGTCATTTCTCTTTATATACTTTAAACCAGTTAATTAATATACCACTTTTGACAGTTCCCACTTTTAACAAAAGCGCTTCTCTAGCGATGCTTCTTCCGCCTATTATCAGACACTGGAACAACTTCGAAAATTTCTCCCCATTATAAAAGAGATGACCAGCAGTGGTACATCACACATTCATTATCAACTAGTTGACAATTCCTTGATGGACTTTCACCATTCCACTTTTCATCGTACTTTCATATATTGATGCTTAGATGCTTATCTTAGATAATAGTTACAGTTGCTGGTTATAAATGCTCTCCAAGGTAAGTGGCAAAAATTTAGCATTATAGAAGTAGTTTTCCCAAAGTAAATAAACATCTTTATCTCTACTTAACTACGGTAATTTATTAATTATAAGAGATCCCTTGAAACACATAAATATGAATGTTGTTGATAGTATTCAGCGTCGTTTATTCTGATTCAATCACGACAGCTTCTTTCCTTTAAAAAAAACTTTAGCACGAAATTTTCAGGGTGAAATAATATTACTTACTATGAATCGTTTAAGCTCTAGGAAACAGCACTTTCTTTCATATGCTTCAAATCGTAATGATGACAAAGAAATTCATGTAGAATTTTAATAGGAAAAATCTTTTTTATCATGATTTACAGTCGGCTTTCTTCTATTCTTCCTACAATGCAACTACAAAAGTTTGATTGAGAAGAACAACTTTTTTACCTTTCCTTCTTCCTGCTTTCAATTCTATGTAATGTTAACTGTAACAGATTATTTGGTAGAAACAATTGAAAACTGTCTATTAACCGAATTGCTATCAAAGAATGCTGGAAAGGAACATAAGAAAGGATGGAAAATTGCAATTTCATGCATCCGTCAATTCGTTCTCCAACTTTGAGTGCGGAAGTAATAGTACTACTGATGATATTAAGCTATGCATTATCAAATTCGAATTCGGAAATGCTCATGGAGTGAGAGGAAACAGGAAGAGCACATTAAAAGGGTGGGTAGGGATAAGCGGTTAGATAGATGGAAATGAATCAGTGTTTTAGATATTTTTCATTTTGTTTAAAATTAATCACTGTCACAGTGCTTTATTAATGTTCACTGATTATGGGCCTTCAAAAGTTTTTGTCAATTCTATGCCTTTCATTTCTTCACATATGCTCCACCCTAAGACCGTGCAGATTTCATCGATGAGGTGAGAATCTGGTTTTCGGATATTTCTTTGATGGAGCTTTTATTCTTTTATTGAAGAAGCGAAATTTTTTGTTCTCCTGTCGAACACGCATCTAACATATTCAGAAAGGAAAATTAATTTTTCTAAGAAAATTCGGACTTTCGAAAGTACATTTCTAAATCTCTTCTCGACATATTTTCGATGGCGTAACCCTCCGATTACCTGACCTGACTTAATCTAATTCAACTTATCTGAATGTCAACTCATTCTCTTGTTCACTTTTATTGCAGTTATATATCCTTTCTGACCTTTTAATGAAAGCAACATGTGAGATGACAATTCGCACTGTTGTTAATTTAACTTTTACAGAGCAGAGTAATATTTGTAGCTTCAACAGCTTCTAAAAGAACGCAATTTTATAGGCATCCATGTGTGACCTGTTAATAGTAAAAGAAATAAGAAAGAACTGAGACAATACCGCTTTGTCATGTTCTCAATAGAATGTGCTTCATTTTCACTCATGCAAGTAATGATGACATTTCATAATTTATGCTTTCTTTAGACACACATAAACATAAGCGCTCTCTTATTCTAATCATTTTTACTTAGTAAGTTTCTATTTTCTGAGAAATTCTCTAATGAGTACTGGGATCATTTGCTCGTAGTCCTGTTTCCTTCATTCTTGGTTGACTCGGATCTTCGTTTCAGTCCAGAATCTTTAGGAAAAAGTTGAGATAAGAAAAAGCAACACAGTATTCTAACGCAGTATAAATAACACTGTTTACTATCTCCATTTGATATTTAACTTTGTTGCTCAAAAACTTTCATTCAAGTAACCAAACTATCATCTTTCTCTCCTCTCTCTGCGTAAACTTGAACATATTATTGCTAATTCAATTCTAGACTATCCAGTTCCATCTCTTCTAATCTTAATTTCTGATTCATACCGAAAATGGAACAAGAAAAAATAGGTAATAGCGAAGCATTACAGGATAGATCATTTCTGTACATATATCCCTCACTTTGCATGCTAAATGAGTCATTTAACAAATGCAATTGGAAAAAAATACTTGCTATTTTACTGGACGGAATATGAAACCATTCAGGAAACAAATTCACTAAAGACCAGAATTCCACAAGAGCAGCAGCTTGTGCTTGTTGAAAGGAATAAGATGGTGTAAAATTCGATTTACTTGGTAAGACTGTTTGTTGCTTCAACGGTACTAATCTTTTCTGTCCGAGCTTTTACCTATATAATTCCAAATTTCTGGCTATTTTTAAGGTGCAATGCTATTCATTCTAATCACCACAGGTCTTTGGACTTCCCTTCAAGCAGCTCTTACTGAATTCAGCGGTTTTCATTGCATGATGCGTCACTCAATGCGGATGAATCGAGCAGTACACGGTAAGCCGCAGGAAACATCGCCACCTTTCGAATTTCACTTTATGGATGCCAAAGGATATGAAACGCGCTATTACGAGCCAGGGAAGATTTATACCAGTAAGTAATATAAATGTTATTTGTCAAACAAATTTAATTTAAAGATCAAAAACAAAGATTAAATTAGCTCAAGATAATAAGTGAAGCATCTCCTCGAATCAGTCAACAATTATTTCTATGTTGCAGTTCGCCTAATTGGCTTTGTACATTTTCGTGGCCTACTGCTGCAAGGGAGATTGGCGAACGAAAATGGATTCTTAATCGGTTCTTTGAAAGGTGGTCGTTTTATCGAAAATGAAAACTGGGAAACATTCGGAATTCGGATGCAAGACTGCAATTCACGTGGTTCAAGTTGGCAGGATTCAGTGACGCACAGTGATGATTCGCAAAAATTCATCGTACAATTAGAGTGGACTACTAACAAAGATATTGGAGCCGTTCAATTCATGTAACTTTTCTGCCTGCTTTTTTGCAACTACCACAAAACTTTTCAATACTTAAAGTTCCAAATCTTGCCTTGTTTCATTTGGATTCATATTGTAAGAAATATTGTAACGGACAATCTATTTGGTAATTCACTGTCAAATACGAAAGTGCGGTGTGTTATTTTATGAGCAGAAAGAACATTTAAAAAATTTTTCTTCCTTGAAGGAATAGCTTGATTGACTATCAAACGCCGGTTCGTGCAAAATAGCCTTCAACTTTGAATTTCACACAGAAACTTGTAATCTTGCATTCTGTGAACTTAAAATGGAAAAAACATGAATAATTGGAAAGCGATTTGAATTAATTGCTTTCGAAAATTATGGAGTAGAGTCATTTCATTCAGTTTAATTTCATTCAATTTTGAATCTGAACTTTCATTTAAAACACCATGAAAATGGTAACTTGCCCAGGTTGACGATCGCTGAGGAGGATGAAATTTATTGGGAGAGGTGGCGACCCAAAAATGGCTTCATCATACCAATTACTTGGAGAGAAAAGCATCTCAATCATATCAGTAATGAAACAATGGCCACAAAACTTTCTGGTCTCTTTTACTTCAATTCCAATGACAATTTTATTCAAATTTTCATTTTTTATTCTAATTACCAGGAAGAGATATGTTTGGGAAAAAACCTAGAATAATCCAATAAAGCAAGTTGTGTACCGACCATTATATTTGCGGTCCCTTCTTCATTGGTAACTCTGTGAAGCAGGACTTACCTCAATTAGCCAACGTATTTGACATTTTCACCATTTCATAAACAGTTTCCCAAAGAATATCTCTGCATACCTGTAACTTCCACCTTTTACAGCTAAGAAGCGAAAGTCTGCTGAACCTCCGACAAGTAACAATTACAAGCGACATTTGTCAATTGAGGAAAAAACTGAAAATTTCACAACTGTTGAGAGGAAAGACGAAGCTACCCAATATTCCATCTACGAAAAGCATGTTCTGCAAAGGTAAAAACTATTCAGGGAAGGAAAAAGCGTTAATTTTTTATTTTCATCAACTCAAAGATTTCTTCCAACTTTGTGAAGTACCACCCCTATTTTGAAGTTGTGAAAATGTTTCTTCGAATGCTTCAAACTTCAAACTTCATTTTTTTTTCAAAATAATTTAACTACTGTAATCAATTGATATTGCCAAGGCTTAGCTTTCTTTTTATCGATGTTTGTTTATAACGATAATTTCGATTTGAATTTCAAAGAATAATAAATGTTCAGGACAGTATATTGAATCAGCTGACTAATAGGGAACAGACAGCTCAATCAATCAGCTGATCTTAATCTAACCTTTATTCAACTTTTTCAAGCTTGTGCTCTTAAGACCAGGTTCGGAAACATTACGAGATTTGGCTTATCGACATGAAAATGAAGTTGAAGAAGAAATGAGCGAGAAAGGGCCATCGACTCTTGTATCGTTCATTGATCCATTGTGGGAATCTGAAAGTTCTACACCAACGGGATTACCGTTGATCCGTGCTACTGCACCGTGGCAGTTACATGTCAGGAAGATGAATGAAATTAAGCACGTTTATGAAGGTCGCTTCCCAAAAATCTTTATGAACAATGAACCGACCAAAACAAAGGTGAAAATGACATCGGTGATAAGGATGGGTAAGTTAGCACATCCATTTATCTGCCCACTTTTTAATTGCAAGCTGACTTAAGCTAATGAATGAAATGTGCGCACTGCTTGGAAATTTCTGGAAAACATTGATTTGATAAGGACAAACACTGATTGAAACTTTTCAGAGAAGTGCATCGAGAACCCATGTGAAAATGGTGGACGATGTCATTTGAACAGCAGCGCAGAAGTGGGCTTTACTTGCTTTTGCAAAGAAGGATGGACTGGTCAGCTATGCCAAAGTTCGAATTTATCCGTTCTTCTCTCTTATTTAATAGCTAATTCAAAGCTTGCAATGGAACGATCACTTCCTGCATATTGCATATATAACCTTTTGAAAGAACAGTGACGTTAAATGAATAAAAATTGTGCGAACTTCAAAAAACTTTTACTCCATGCTTAATTTATTTTAGCGAAGGATCAGTGTTTCGGACACAACTGCAAATCGGGAAAATGTGTCAGCTTAAAGGATTCTTATCAATGCGACTGCTGGAAGGACTACGCCGGTAAATTCTGTACACGTGCGTTTTTGCATTTATTAATATTTATTTATTTCAATGCGTACAGTTTGAATTTCAAATATCTGTTCATTCAAATCGTTCAATTCAAAAGGAATTCATTCGAAAAAGATGGAAAGTGAACAGTGAATGTAGAATATTTGAAATTTGAAAATAGAAGCCATTTTGAATCTGAAGACCTCATAAATTACTATGTCTGTGAATTACAGCATTTCAAAATATTTTCTTGATTTCGGTGACCTTTCCCTATCTATATTCATCAAGTCCATTCAAACATTATACAAATTATCCTTCTTAAAAATGATGGATTTTCTTAGACAAGCCAAGATGCTTGAATTTTAAAAGTCACTTATATGTAAAGTTAAGAAAACGTTCACTTCTTAATTTACAGCTTTTCGAAAAAGCTATAGTGATTTTCCATTCTCGATTAGTTTCTTTTTGTCACTGGAGGAATCTGAAACTGATACTTCTTCAAATCATTATTGCTTTTCGGATGGTTACGCAGTTTTCATCGCTGATAGAACCTTTGATGATATTATTCAGTGAAATTCATAATTTTCATAATCTCCGTGAAAGGGCTGTGAGCAATTATTGCAGGAAAATGTGATCCTAATCTATGTAGGAGAAATGGCACTTGTGTGGAAAAAAGTGATGGTGAACTGGGCTGTAAATGTCCGCCCGGTGCGTCTGGAAGATACTGTGAACGCGGTAACTTTATTTTAAAAATCCTTCTTTTTACCTTACACATACACACATAGAAATATACATACACATACACACGAGCACAGACATCATCAATATGCTTGTAAAACTCAGTTATGCTAATTATGCTAGTCCGAATTCGATAAGATGTGGATTGTCAACTGGTGAAGTGAAAGGTCACACCTTATTAAGTCCAATGTCAAGAGACAACTCATTTCAGCAATTGTTGATAGTGCAAATTACAAGGCGCAATATAATAATATGGTCTCACTCTGTTCATTTTGAGAACTGAAAATGAATAAAATTGGTTTTTCTGCAGAAATAAATGAATGCAACTTTCAACGCTGTAAGAACGGAGCGAAATGCATTGATAAATGGAACGATTACTCATGCATCTGCAAGCCAGGATGGATGGGAAAAGACTGTGATCGTTGGTTTTAAAAAATTTCTTTAGGCATATTTTTCATACCGTATTGTCTAAGAATGAATAGAGTGGCTTATATCGTCAAGCACTTTCTCTTTCATTCACACTTTCTACTTTATTACTGATTAAGGGCCTTGTCAAGATATTTATCGAAGTTGCAATCAATGGAAGCAAAAGGGTCAGTGTGAACAAATGCGTCATCATACGCGTTTTTTTGATGTCAATTGTGCCGTATCCTGCGGACAATGCTCTTATTCAAAGGAGATTGGTCTGATTTATCATAACGATTGTTAATATATCCAACAACCAGTCGATTGCGCAGATTCTCTTCTAAGAAGTTCCACTGTACATTTTGAAAAACAGAAGTAGCACGGTCTAAATATTAATTCGCTGAATAGTAATAATATAATAATTGGCGTGTATTTCAGTTCCCACTTTCTTGAAATTTATCTTGGACATTTCTTGCTGATACAGAATTAAATTTCAGTGAGAACAACAAAACCGCTTGCTCCAATTTTACTTCCATTAGCTTGGATGATCGGCATATGGAAAGCTGAAGTAAATGGTAGGTAATGGAGATTCAGCTAGTCAGTGTGCTATTACCATCAATTCAGCTCTACAAATCAGATATACTATTGACTGGCACGAATGCTTCAATTTTTTCTGATAGATAAATGCAGCGAGTTGTTGATCCTTCCATCCATTTAGGTACACGTTCGAGCACTGTAGACTATGTGACGGATTTCGAAGGGATATCCTATACGGAAATTCTTGCAGTTACTGTTGCTGATGTACTAGTGTTTGGCAAACCGAGTATCAATTTCACGTATGTTAATACAATGTCAAAGCTTGATATCTTAAACAATTGCCTGCCTGTTAACTTAGTCTGATCTCATTTAACTTGAATTTATTTAAAATTTAGGTATTAGTAAGACATTATTCCACCAAAATGATAAACTGTTTAAATAAGAATTATTAACTATCTTCCCAATACAATCATTTACACTAATCTATATGTCAATTTCTTTTTTTCAGATCGATAGCAATAAACAAAAACGATACGACTGATCAGCATATACATTACGGTTTCCTTACAGTTGGTCCAAATCCGAACGGCAAACCTCTGGTGGCACTTATTACAGCTAGTAACCTTGGTAAGAAAACGAAATTCGAATCTTTCAAGCCATCACCATTATTGAAATATTCTTATACTAACACTAGCATTTACTTCTATGATGAATCTTCCAACTGCCATATTTAATAAGATAGGACGAGAATTAGGCGTTCATGCTTTCGAATTTTCTATCCATAATACAAAATATCACTATCCTAATTTCAGGTCAAATAATGATAGAGGAGGGTGAAGTACGCTCGAATAGTGTTCAGTTTACACCGACATATCGGTCTATCTTATTATATACAGCCAATAATTTGCCGCTCGAGGTAACAAACAAGTTTAACAATTCCGAGACTATTTCAAGATTACGGGACTATATTTAAACCTAGTAAAATAAAGATTAGCATTACTGCTAAAAACTTTTCTTATAGCTACAAAAGCCCATCTATTCGAAAGTTCTGGTGGCAAACTCCCTTTTTTGGATAATTGAAGAAATGTTTGCCTGATTGAGATAGACAGAATGTAAGAGTGGCGCTGTTGTCTGAGAATGTCACTTTATTCCAGTTACACCGAACATTCTCGAAGAACGATAAGAGGTTGGTACAAAGTTTGACAAAGAAGGACATGGATGGGAGAAATCGAAGTGTCAGCAAGCGGTACGACAAAATTGTCGATATTGAATACCTGTAATTACTATGAGATCTCTTCTCATTTCTTCAGAATTCAGGATTCATCCAGTTGACTTAAATGTGCACATTGTCTCAAAATCCTCTTCTACCTATAAACTTATTTTTAACCATGACCTTTTTATTTGTAACTCTCATCGTTCAACTCCATGAATGGATAACTTGACCGTTGTATTCACTATATGTATAGTATGCTAACCATTAATGCTTTAATATATTTTCACATCATTGCAGTAATAACAGTTAAACAGTGAATTAACTATTAGCAGTTTGGAATGTTCTCACAGCTCATAGCTAGCAAAATTTTTAGCTTGCATTGTTGGAAATTAGAATTATTTCTTTCAGGAGCAATCTGTATTCTTCAAATTTTAGAATAAGAAAGGCGAAGTTTTGTGTCAGTTGTAGTTAAATTATTCGACTTCTTCAGATCCTACAAAATTGTTTCAGGATAGTTCAAACCTATCATTTCAGGATATTGTTAATTCTAAAATATAGACTTAATGAGCTGATAATTGTAGTATCATACTTTGTAATTTTATCAACTAATTTCAGCTTTGATATATTTAATTTAGATGTCAAGCTAGTTGTCTGTTGTAAGAATTAACTAAGACATCTCATCCATCAGTATATTTGAAATTGCTCCTTCGATGCTGCCTATTTCTCATATCCTGTACAATATGACTAGAAATGTATGTTAAATTTTTAATTTTCACTCATGATCTACCATTTGAAACAAAAGCTCTTTTGAACTTTCTCTTTCAAAGACCAAAAGTCCGAATCGCATTGCGATTTTGTTTTTTGTCGATCGCACGTGTGGTTGAATGAATAGTTTGGCAAATACCTTAACAATGTACTGTTCCCCTTTATAATATATCCATTCTATCATTACAAGAGCGATCGCGTATGTTAAATGATTTGATGAAATCATAAATACTGAAATAGAAATGGTATGAAAGAATATAGTGTCGTGAAAGTTTTTGATTTGAGTAGTTTGTTGTTTCGCACACAAAAATTGTTGGAGAGATTCATTGTTTATGGAAGATTAGCGATAATATTACAATGTAATTATAGTACCAATAGAAGGAGATTTCTTTTTGTTTATTGATGTCTGGAGAATACCTTTCTCAGAATTGCTTTATGAGCTATCCAACCACTTCAAGGCAACAAATGCTCAGTGTCAATAAAAGAAGCTAACCTCGATAATCGTTTCGACAACATGACCTGGCTCCTTCCTATTTTCTTCTGATGTGCATAACACACTCGAAAGTGCCTATCCAAAAGAAGGAATATTTAGATGTAATACACTTATTTGGATTAAATCGGATACTTTCAAGATTGTTTGGACTGGCTATCTCCTTGCAAGAGGCAATAATAAGTGCTCCTAATTCATCTCACTGTTTTTAATTAGCAGTAGAACAATTGATAATCTTACCATCTCCTTCTTATATCATATTTATAAAACAATTAAGTAAACAAATCTCATAGGATCATGCAAAATCGAAGCAATCTTCTAAATGAAGAAACAATTTCAATTGGAAAATTTGAAATCGAAAGAAAGATGGACGTCGTAAAGGGAATAAATACTAACTTACAATAAACTTGAAGAAAGTTAAAAAAGAAGATAGAAAACATGGAAATGCATTTGGAAGTGGTCCTTTCTGAAAAACGAAATGTAAAGATAATTCAGGACAATTTATTTCATTTCAAACCTTTTCTCCTTACGCTCCAATTCATTCCCTTCTCCCTCTTGTTTTTAAACTTAATTTATTTTCTTCTTTGCCAGCGAAACCACTATTTTTCCTGTCATCTTTCAATTAAGTAAATAAGTGAATGACGGTGAAATACAATTAAATGAAACTGGTTTGCAACAATATACATCCTAAACCGAGCAAAATCATCAGTTCATTTTTATTTACTGCCATAGCTACGTCACATAAATCCCACTCCTCTGCAAACATTTCGCTACTAATGTCGCTGCACGATTCAGATGTTCTTCTTCATTCGAAGATTCTTTAGCGCTTATCTAACACCTTCAACACTCACCATCATTCAAAGCGCTTTTTTCCCGTATCACAACAAGGAATCAATCATATATCGACTTTTCCTGCAAAGCTCACTGTTTTATCGCATACCACTATTATTTCACTCCAATATTTACTTTTGCTTAGTAGATATCGCTTAACTTCGGAGTCAGGTAGTTTATCTGACTCCCAAATTTACCTATCTAAAAAACTTTACTGTAAAAGTTATTTTCTCCCCCTAGTAAAAGTTTGACTTGTTTCTCCGTGGCAAACTCCCTAGCTAATATTGCCCTACGCTAAAAATTTGTGAGACGGCTACAAGTATAACTGCCATTGAAATGAAAAAGGAAAATGTGCCAGGTCCTTCCTTCCAGAGATTTCAAAAAAAAAATTACTCAAAACTTAATCCCGCAACTCCGACTTAATTTTAAAGAAATCCTATTTACACCAGATTGAAGCTTCTCTCTGTTATGTCGGTCACCCCGAACGAACTTATCGTTACAATTTTCCCATAATATTGTTAATAACAATAATAGCGATAACTGAACGCAATATACACATTTTCAGGTGGGTCAGAGAATGTTTGCTGAAGAGGAGAAGTGACAGACAACACTCTTCTTTATAGAAAGCGAAAACATCTTTCCCTCCCTTCGCCTTTGCTATTCTGCTATCAATATCTTTATCACTATCACCACCACTCCTGCGCAAAATCACTCCGTTATCGTTATAATGATGAAGTTGATATTAATAAGCAACCTTTGTTCGTCCCATCTTCTTTTGACATTAATCGCATCGATTACTTTCGCATTCACTAGCTCACCGTTTCCAGACCTTAAATCTCCGACAGTTCCTAGTGTTCTTTTCTTTTATTCCGTATCTTCTTATATGATTAATTATATTAATTATTCCGAAATACAACAATAACTGGGATATAATGCACAGTATGACTGGATCATTGATTACCTTGTCAACTGCTGTCTCTTAACTTACTGCAAGCACATAAACTGCTAATGCAAAAAAGACAGAATATAAAATAAAGGAAGATAAAACACCAATAAGCATTTTTCTGCAAGAAACTTCATATCTTCAATGTTTCAAAATTCAAAAGTCAACTAAACGTTATTCAAAAGTTATTGATTATAAATAATTTTATTACAAACTAACCAATACCAATGCAAACACATGTGAGTTCAGTTACTAACTTACAGAACAACAAATGTCAACACAATAACTTTGCAGCAGGAACAACAACGAACAATAAAAACCAGCACTTTGCAGCAGGAATAACAACGAACAATAAAAACCAAACTGATGCAGAAAAAGTGACGGTTTTTTGAAGGCATCACTACTGTCTCAAATTCACCCAACCACAGATACATCATTTTCCATGTAGTAGATTTTCTCGAAGATTCCACCCAGTACTCAAAAAAAGAAAAAAAAAAACAGAGTAATGATAACCGATGAAGCAATAAACCATCAAATTATATTCACTCAGCTACTCGTCTTTTTTTAACCCTTCGTTTCATTTTATTTTTTTGAATTTTTTTCCGTGCCATGCTAGCTGGATCCAAAACAGCTTCCTCCTGCAAATTTAAAATAACTTATAGGAACGATGATGGATGGACTAGACATAATAATGCCAAACCTAACAGCTAATTCCTATTTGGATGTACCAAACAAACCACATTAGCAGTTTAGGAAGAGAATAATAAGGAATTTATTTCCTTAACAACCAGTTAACCTTTTGTTTTCGTTTCCTTCCTTCAAGTTTGGAAGCGAACAATTTATGACACTCAGCTACACGTTTTGTAAATTCCTCTTCACCAATCCTTCCTTTTATTGTTTCTGCCACTTCTAACGCGACCTTTTGTAATATTTCGGTGTCTGGAAGAGATGATACATCCTATATAATGATACTTCAGCTGCAATATTTAAACATATAATTTTGAACAAGAATAGGCATTTAGCAGCATACGTCCTTTTTAATGATGGCTTCAAAAAATATACTCTGTGTTGATTTGATTTGCATTTCACGATAGAGAGAAGGTAATAATGATTGTACTACAACATCAATTCGGTTAGCATCAATTTTGAAGACGATAGCTGCTGTCACTTTGAAAATATTAATCCTCTGCAAAGTGAAATTATAGTACCAAAAGAGAAACTGTATCAAACCGTCAATGAACGAATAAATTCAATGAGAAAAAAAATAGCAAAGATTGAGATCATTAAAAAATCTTGAAAACGTTTTCAAGTTGCAAGATAAAACCAATCCCGTAAGCAACAGGAAAGGTAAGAGAAGCTCACTCGAATCGTTTCAGTCGGCAGTTTGACCAACTCAAAGTTACACAACACACTCAGTCTATGACAAAGCCATTGAAGATCTTCATCCGAATGTAAAACTGCCTCGAGAAGGTACACCAAGTTCTTTGCTATCTGAAAAAGAAACATAAATAAAGCATCACAAAACGCAGCCGCTGTCAATGGAAATTATCTCATATTATAAAATAGGCAGATGATATGAGTATATTATTTAAACAATAAATTTTTGCGCTTTCATAAATCCAACTTGTTCAGCTAATTCGCTAGTTAGCCGATAAGTTTTCATCTGTGCCAATGTCCACTGCATGAACTCCCGAGAAGATGGATCGCTCCGTGATAATATGTATTCTTTATTCAAAGTGGAAAACACTGAGCCAAGAAATCGAGCTGCAGATAACTGGATAGTGGGTGATTTACTGCATCGCGCTAACGGACCCATTTCTCCTAAAAAATAATTGATCATAAATATGCTTCTGGATTTAAGAGCTAAAGCAAAAATATAATTAAGACTTGCAAATCTCCATAACAGCGAGTATAAAAACATGCAGAACTTGACAGAGTTAAATTATGCATCCTTCTATTTCTCTAAAAACCTGAAATTCCTTCGAATCTCGTATTTTTATTCTTATACTTCTACTTGTCATGCTTACTTCAATACTTATTTATTAACAGCTGCTAAATTCATGAATACTTACTTAAAATAGAGTCCAATAATCCTTCTTCAGCAAACTGCATCATTTGGTTCTTGTGTTCACTTATCAAAAAATTAAGGCTATCAATCATGATACCAATACTTTCTTCAGAATATGAATATAAAATATCAGCACGGAAAATTTTCGACAGTGTAGGTGATAATTCCCGGAAAATATTTCCAAAATTTTCGCCTCCCAATTTGATAAATATTACTAGTGTTTGTATGGCAATACAAATGTACACTTCCTGAAAATAATATATCCGGAATATTAGCTTTTTTGGCCACTATTTCTCAATCACATCGTTAAAATGCATTTTTCAGTCATTTTCAGAACGACTATCATGAACAAACTGGCCTTTTTACTTTCAAGCCAATCCCTTGCTGCCAAATAGAGGTCATTTCGCTTAGATTCCGATACAGACACTATCAATTTCTGTATAGCCAACACAATCATCTGACGACATTCCGCACTTTCATCATTCATTAATCGAGCTGCCAGTTTCACAAACGCTAATAAAGCATAATGATCATTAATTTCCTGTAATGAGCATGCACACAATTAAAGCTTTTTAAGAATACAAAATTCTATCGACTGATTTCTTCAAGAATCTTGATGAATCACAGAATATAGGAATATGCACTGTGATTCATCAAGAAATCAGTCGATAGGATTGCTTTCTAGTATTGAAAGTTAACGAATAATCAATCAGCAATGATATTGCTATCCAGTAACAAACAGATATTAGATTACCTCATTTCAGAAAAATAACAGACAAACCATTGTAAGCTTCTCAAAAAGTATGTTCAGCGTTTCAATTGCAGACCTTCTGCCGTCTTCATGCTGATAATCAAGTTGTTCTAAGAAGAATTCAACATATTTCGACGGTTTTTTACATTGCGGATGGTTGGTAACAAAGAGCGATATTACCTGAACAACAATTTATTTTTCGAAAATTTTTTTTTTTTAAAATAAACATCAACATTCATCTATGCAATTATATCATCAAAAAACTCAAAAATATTTTGCTATATTATAAATTTGCTGTATAAGAAATATTATAAATGACAAGAAGTTATTTTATATTCCATATAAATTTATATTCCATATAACAGCTATTATGAGGCTTCTCGGATTACCTTTATCGTCAACAATATATCTTATTGGTTCATGTAAAAGTTAGGAAATTCACCAATAACTGTACTTTTGTAATACAATCCGCACTAAATTAAGTATCTCATTAAAAGATATCAGTTAAACTGCTTTCAACACTTTATGTGAATAAATAGAACTATTGAACGTGCGAAGAGATACAGCGAGATACATATGACTATAATTTATTCCAGAATACGAGAAATAAGTCTAATAAACTGAGATCAGCACTAATCACAAAAATCCGTGAGGAAACACATGCGAAGCTGTAAATGCCTCAAGGAAACCAATAAAGATTGTTTCAAAGCGAAGCAATTCAATAAAGTGAAGCCATAGAAAAATGTAAAGCTCTGAATAATAACATAAATATCTCTTGATATTTTGATTTCATATATAATTTCTCTATGAAATTATTTGATGCTCAAAACTCCTCCTCTGCACTAACACGCCAATACGGCGCTATAATCTTAAATGATAAACCATGATTCTCTTGAATTAATAAGGATTTTCATTTGGATCAAAATGAGCTTTCGGCATTTACGATCATCACTTTTTGTTGCTCGTTGCGGAATTCAATCTTTTGATTGAAAAGAAGGATTTAAACAAATGCTGACCTGTCTGCACAGCTCTCGAATATGCGAAATTTCTGACATAACGGCAGTTTCTGCGATATACTGAACGATTTCAATGATCTAAAAAACCTATATTAACCTTCTCCAAATTTAATCTAAGCATAATGAAAGCGATTAAAGCTTCATCAATTCAAAAATGCTTCTTAATAACAATAAAAATGACTATGGAATATGCCAATGTTGTAATTTTCTAAGGCAATTTTTTTAGTTACATGATTAAACTGATTTCTCGATTTTCGATATGAGAAACTATTTTATCAATAAATTGCTGTAAGATTGAAACTACCCTCATATAGTAATTTCATTCTCAAGCAAACCAACCTTTGGATCCTGAAGTTTGCGAGTGATGATTGCCTTGATAAGTGGGAATGCTACTGCCTGTTTCTGATTGTCAACAATATCGGTTTCAACGTAAGTCAACAACAGTTGCAAACGTTTCGATGTAAGCACAAAAGAAGGGGCATCTTTTATTACTTGTGTAATAGCCTTAAAAAATTATCCCGAAATTCAAAAAAAGAAGATTGAAAAAAGTTTGAGCCGAGAAAATTGTAAAGAAGTTACTTTCGCAGCTTAGAATGAGAAAAAACAGTGGCAGAAATTAATAATAATTCATTATGACTTTTTCTGAAGTCTTTAGAAATAACATGTATTTGTTAATCTTTAACTAAAGGAGAAGTATATCCAAACATTGCATGAATTAAGATCTGAGAAAAAAGAATCTACCTTGAACACTAGATGAGAAACTTCCACAGATTGTCGAACATACTCCCGGATATTGCCATTTGCGTTCAAAGTTGTATAATCAGCTAGTAAGATGAATAAACGGTCCACAAACTGGGTCATAATAGATCGCAGTGAAGGAAGAGGGAATCTGAGTAATATTAGGAAGCAACGTAGGGAATGCACAAGGATCTAAATTAGCTGGAGATGAAATTAAATCGGCACAATTTTATGACTTTAAATAATTAACGGAAAAATCCTATTTTTCAGAAGCCCAACTATAATGCACCAAACATTAACTTCATATAATACTCAACATTTAATAAGTAGTTAAAATGTCTAAATAATTCTTATGCTCCCCCAAAAAATTTGAAGAGTAATGCATGACACAGAATACGGAAACCAGTGCCATCTGGATCACCCGCTATAAAAACACAAGATGTTAGTGAATTGATAACAATTAAACCTTTGATGTCTTTACCTTATCATATTTTAGCTTTAGACACTGTAAAATAATATCGACAAATGGATCCAATCGTGCAATGTCATCCTTGGATTCCACATCAAAAGCCTTTTTTTTCAACACTAAATGCAGCTCAGAGAGGCCAAATTCAACAAAAATGAGCATTCTACTCTTCGTCGACACTTTGACAATTACTCCCACACTGAAATTACCTCAATTTGACTATTGACACCATAAAACATTAAGTAAAAGAAGTCGTAAACTTCTTTCAGTCTTCGACTAAGATCAAAAACGATTTTTATTCTTGAGGAAATCAATTCCCTTACTCTTACTATTATCTTCACTGATGTTTTCAATGATGGAAAAGTGAGTTTTCACTAAACTTTCCATATTATACAGATTAATAACCAGCTTCCAATATTTTTACAAAACAATCGAATAAAATGTGCCTGAAAAGGGATATATTTTCTACTCACGTGAGAATTTCGCAACTTCTGGTGTCAATACTGATTAGTGTGATGAAATACTGGAAAAGTTGCTTTTCAATACTTCATTTGAAGATGTTTTTTAATAAAAAATAAATAACCGATTAGGTTCTTTTTCCAAAACCAAGCAACTTTCGGGACGTTTTCCTTCCTTTGTTTGTTGCGTAATTTGTGGAACATCGATTTTGGTCTCCTTCAGAACTTCTGTTATTTGATCATTTAAAACTTGATATACAAATATCAACGCGACTTCAGGTTCAATTCCTTCGTTAGTCGATATCCCTAGTGAATACTGCCACAACAAACGATTTACTTTTCGCACTGTTTTCGCATCTGGTGCAGATTCTACAAGCTAAAATATACATGTATAACCAAATAGCAAATATGGCGTAAAGATCTATCAGACCGAAACACATTTTATGCTCAAGAAAAAGTGAGAAAACGTCCATCTTTCACACCAAAAAAGTGAAAAAGGTTCATTAATTACAGTATTATGACGAAATAGCGACGATTTTTAGAAATAAACAACATTTTAGACTTTCACAATATGGTGGATAAATTGAAGGAACCTTTTTCAAGACTACTAAGACGCTCCCAAGATACTGGGGGCTTATATATCGGCCTAGTAATCTGTATGTCTCATAGGTTCGCTGTATTTTTGCTTCTGGTACATCTTTGGTAATGCCAGATACAGTTTTTTCTTCAGCTACACTACCAAATAAATCCATGGTACATACCTAAAGTCATTTTAATAGTTGTTCAAGTTCAAATAGACAAAATTCAAATCCAATTTTGAAAATCCACAAATCTTTCATATAAATTTCATTGCTTTAACGCATTTCTATCAAAATAGTAACCAATAGTACTTTTCTTAGATTTAATAACCACATTAATTCGCTTAAAAAAAAAAATTAAAATGAAATGCTTACATCAACGATGTCCATTAAACACGAATCTAGGTCACCAGCACAAAGTTGCTCCTCCATAGCTGACAATAGCTTGTGCACATAGAAAATCATTACATGAAGCTATAATGAATACAGATTTTCCTCAATCAAATTAAAAAATCTGTTCTGAAAAACAATGGCTTTCATAATGGCAAGGATATATATTAAGTGCTGAATATTTCCACCACCCAACACATATTTCAGATTGGACATTTTGATTTTTCGTGAATCTATAGGTCAATATGGAAAATGGAAGGAAAATGAGATAATTAATTCATTTATTCTTAAAATGAAAGATGAACTAAGATTAGAACACAAATATGATGTTCCAAAATACTCGGCAGTTGTCGGCAAAAAGCAAACGATAAGCATTGCTTTAACATATGTAATCAAATGAAAGGAGTGGATGGAGGAAATTATCACAGTCACGAGAGTTAAATTCAGGGAATTTCAAAATGTGATATTATTTAAATATCCGTAGATGGAGTACAAAAAAACACCATTGACAACGTCGACAATAAAGTGAATGAATTATACAACGCAATTACAATATAAGCTACTGATACTAACAATACCTTAACTGTCTAGTCGAATGAAAAGTTCAAAGAAAATAAAAGAAAAAAAATCTCCCGCATATCTAACATACGAGAGAAGATAAAAACTGTACCTGATATCCCTTTCTCATAGTTTGTTTCATTTCTCGTATTATGAAACGAATATATTTGGGACCCAAAATTTTAGCAATTTCGATAATAGTCTTACCCGCTACTTCCCGCACACCAGTTGATCGCGACATCAACAAAGAGCAATTCTTGATTATCACACTGTAGTAAAATACATGAATCAAAGAAATATAGAGAAGGATCATCTTCTAGTCAAAATAGTCGTTCATTACATAGAAACTTAAACAAAAGAAATGATGCTCTACATGGACAGCACATAACCACCCACTTTAATTGAAACAAAACTTGCTGCAGTTTTATTTGGTGTCGTAATTCTAGGAATGACAAATTAAATGTGCGAATTACCCAGGCAAATTATTGTCCATAACTTTTTGTGGCATTTTTTGAAGCAATTTAACAGTAGCCAAAGCAATAGGAGCCCTTTGTATGTCGTCGTCTTCTCTATAATATTTCCCAGATTGGGCTTTTCGATGAGATACTAAATCCTATAACACAGACTCTTTTATCCATTTAACATTTTACTCAAAATGAAGCTGAAAAATGCGAAATGAAGCGGAAAAAAGCAAGAGATTATTTTTAGAACTATAACTTTCTGTCTGAAGTTACGCAATTGAGAATAGTTATTAGGTTTCTTCTTTAGTTTGAAAAAAAATTAAAACTTATTCCGAATTAATCGTAGAAAATAAGTGAAAATTTCTTGTCAGAATCGATTGGAGGAAATAATGTAAAATGGGAAAATCCCAATGTCAAGCATTTAGAACTTATTTATAAAAAGCAATCGGATTATACTCCTTCTCTATTCCGGTCACCTTAATCCATCAACTTCGCATGCTTTGCTGTCTGGTGGATGCATCAGTCATCACGCGCTACTTAAAAGCATAACGAAAGCTTGCTTACTTTGCCAGTAGCGCAGTCTTTCAGTCGTGGTATCAAATACCCGACAACCTTTTGATGTATCGATGAAGTGCATTCTTTTAATGTGTCGCTAGCATCCATTTCAGCTGCGACTCCTTCAATTCCAACTTTTACCCAGTCGTTAGGTATATCACTTGCTTGAATTTCCAACTCGTCATTCGTTTTTTTCCGCTTTATAATAGGTTCTTGTTGTTTTCCATCGGAAACATCAAAGTGAAAAGCATCCACAAGGGCAACAATGACCCTGAAAATGTGAAATCCTTGACCCAAAAATGAGCAGTACAAATATTCTGCATTCACATTGTTCATACCAATAATGTATCTTAAGAAGGTATATGTAACAAATAAAACATTTTTTTTTTAAATAAATGTCACAAAATTAACATTACGTCTTGTTGAAATTCGGGTTGAAGAATTCCAAAGAAATAGCAATTTCAGTTTTTTCGATTTGTATCGTATACGTAATGGGAACGATTAAGACATCTTAATTTTATAGAGCGATACTCACAAGTTATACTAATGTGGAATTCGTAAAAAACTGCGCGATACAGAACAACTAAACTTTTAAAAAATAAACGCAAAAAAATTTGGTGTTATGGAGTAATTTTTAATATGCATTTCCAAACAAAATTAAGAAGGAAAAACCACAAAGTAAAGACAGACTAAACCCCATTGAATGTAAAAAATAGCAACTTGGAAAGCGAAGTGGGAAATATCCAATCGATCTAGCTAATAATCATCAGAAAAGATATGCCACATGCGAATCTGACAATCGTAACATAACTGAGAAACATTAACTCGGTCAGTCAAAAAAGTATGCAGAAGAGATTCTGAGAAAGTACTTAAAGCAAAAAGCAAGTAATCATTTCGAAGTAATATTGTTAGGAATATCTATGTCAGCTAGATTTTAAAATGAAGCAAACTGAATTCTATTTTTTTCACTTCTAATCATCATCTGAGAAGCAAGAATCAGTCATATTTTTGCAATAATTAGTTCATCAAAATTCAACCATGCACAACTTTTAAAAATCTAACCGAAAAGTGCAAAAAAAGAGTCGATGGTTCCAGTAAACTTTAAAAGATAATAACTAGCGATCTGGCAAAATTAGGACCCTATTAAATCCGTATTCGAAATTTCCGGAGAAAACATATTAGCGTCATACAGTGTTTATCGACAGAAGACTGTTATGCGGTATTATTCCTTACCATTTCAGTGCAGAATAAAAACATCTGAAAACGTATTTCAGAGTTCAAAATTGAAAAAAATAATCAAAAAAAGAATTTGAAAACTAACCTTATAATTGCTTTGTGATTAATATTAACGCTTTCTTTTTTCAAACGCTTCATATAGAAATCCAACATTGGAAAGTATCTGAAAATTGATTGATATATTCGCTGACGCCGACTAGTATATTCTGTTTGCTGTATGAGAGCCTTCGTTACTGAAGTAATGCTCTTGGATTATGATTGTAGAATAGAAAATTGAAAAGTCCTGAAGTTTATTCATCAGAAATGCTACCTGAAAGTTCAGAAAAAGCTAACCTTATAAAGAATCACAAACAACAAAGATAAATTGCAAACTTCTTTTAACTTACTTTTTCCACGGCGCACCACGCATTATTTGTGTAAAAAGTGCCAAAGCAGCGTCACTAAGAGCCGACGTACTACTGGATAAATTCATCACGTAAGGTTGCAGAAGGGGCAGCACAAAGCGAAGCAAAACTACATTTGGAATGCGAATCTATAATATAACAAACATTTTTAACAAAAATTAGGGAATTCATGCTTCAAACAATTATTATAATGAACTTTTGAATCCATGAAATTTCTTGATTTTGTGCACAGTGATATAAATAGTAACTTTTTCTGACTGCAGGTTTTGAGTAAGTTTGCAAAATGCACGTTGTCGTCGATGAATTTGCATATGAGTAACGTTCTCGAAAAAGTCCACATCAACTTCTGCAGTATTCCTAAGTGATTCAAGATGGCGAAGATGTCTGTGTGCCGGAAAACAAGCAATCATCGAAACCAGAAGATTTGCAAAATCATGGCGTATTACCTAAAATTTTAGTAGATTCATCAATTATCATTTACATAGCTGGTTATAAAGAGTACAGTTTTAAAGTTAACCTTTTCCTTTTATATCGCTACAGTTTAAATGATAGAAAATAGATAAATTATGATTAGATAAATTAGAAAATACCTCTTTCGGATCATGCAAGCCCTTTATAACAAGAGGTAATACATGAGAATCAATTCCATCTTGTTTTTCACGCTCATTCATATTACATCTTCCAAAGTATTCGATGACACTGTGGAAATTTTTGGTTGCCGCTGAGCGCAATGAAATATCGTTCATCTGCACCAGATGTAAAGAGATATCAAACTCTTCGTCAAATACATTTTTTTAAAAACTAACAAATTTTGCGAAAAATGAAGTAAAAAAAACGAAAAACGAAAAATGAAAAATGAAGTACAGAAGCGACATTATTGCTTTACACTCTTAACTTCCCATATTAAAAAAAATATCTGTTAAAAAAAATCAAAGTACCTGAAGAATAACATAATAATCATTATGCAATTGCAAGTAGAGTAATACCGGCTCAATTACTTCGCCTGTTGTTAAAGCCTGGAAAGTTTAAAGGAAACAAAAACAATCACAATCTAAGACAGTAATAGTATTAAAAAAGAAAGCTTGAAATTAAAAAAAAAATTCAAATAATAGCAAGAACAAACCTTAAGGAGATTTGCATAGGCACTGTGTCGTTTGTCATAGTCCGGCTCATCAATTCGTCTTCCATCCCATGCATCTAGACTTACCACATAACTAAGTAACTCCGCTTTCCTCTTATCGCTTTCCCTTAGCTTCATTACTATGACTTCTTCAATTTTTTGTAGAGTTTCACGATACGGACGTTCTTTTAGTAAAGACTGCATATTTATAAGATTTCTGAAAAGCTTCCTCGTTTGAAGACACAAGAATTTCGTCGCTAATCTACTCTATATTCAATGCCATGGTTGTTTAGGTAATAGTATCATGATTACACATAGTAAATGATTAAATACTAAGCACCATTAATGAAACTCTTCACGATGTTATTGCTTCAGATAGCTTAATCGTGTGCAGCGGTATCCTTTGGACTTCTAAGACAAAAATCTTGCAATGGATATCAACATGGCGTTTTTTAAAATAGAGTAGTTATACTATGGAATTATGAATATTCAGTACTAAAACCATCAGCTTTAAGCAGAACTTGCTTAAAACTAATAGTTCGTCCGAAAACTACAATTTACAAGAAAATTCTAACTGAAGTTCTAAACAATTACTTCAAAAACTGGACCGCATCTGTTGTTACAGTAATCAACCGTAAAACAGTTAAAAGGGAAGATTGAACAGCATCCTGAGAACGTACAATTCCTGATTCCAGAAACACTAGTAGAATTGAAACATATCGTCTGATCATTTCTTCATCTTGTATGAATTCACTTATTCTAAAACATAAATCACAGCTTAGTTATTCACTTCAAATATCTGTGCGTTCTTAAAATAATTTCCAATGAAAATGGTCATAAAAAATTAACAAAAAAGATTGTGAGCTTTACAAAAACAGAATTGTCTAAATCAGAAGAAAGGATGCCAACCTATTCAAAATTTTCAAATGTTTCGTATTAAGTTTACGATTTTCACCTTGCAGAGGCAAGGAATCAAAAATAAATGCCAAAAGCTTCGGCAATTCAGAAAGTACCATAGAAGTTCCACTATTTAAACCTGAAAGAATTTGTGTGCGAAATCCAAAAATAACAAAGAATCTTATACTGCATAGACAACAAACCAAGTACTGCTAATTTAACAGATAACTCCAAATTCTCCAGTAGTCCGAAACACACATATGTGACATGGTAAATAAGACTTGCTACTACTATATCATTTTATATACAAAGATAGCACATATCGGAACTTCAACGAGGTAAATTGGAAATTTAGATGTCCTGGAAATAAGTCTCACTTACCAGGAATTTTTTGAAGTTTCGTTAGGTTGACATCTGTATCCACTGGATCAGGCATAACCTCATCTGCCAAAGTAAGCAAATTCAGCAAACCGTCAATGATTTTCTCTTTCATCAACTTCTTAACACTTTTCGATGAGAGCATGCTGCACAGAATTGAAAGCAATGAGTGTGGCACGGTACTGCTACTGGTTGATGGAATTTGGAGACGCAAGAGATAGAAGAGCCTGGAAAACATTTTTTGTAGTTTTCGTAATCTTCATTAAAAATAGGTTCATAGAACTAAATACATCTCAGTGGAAACTGCAGAAATACAATGCGGTACACGATCAATAAAAAAGAAAAGATCTCTTAAGGATAAAATTCAAGTAAAATACTTACTTTGGGATCGATGTCCATGAAAGAAACAATCGCAGAAGATTAAATGGAACTTTTGAAGAGCCATCATCATGATAGGTGCACTGCGGGACAACAATATACACCAAAAACGCATTGATCTCATCGGCCTCAAGCGTGAGATTTTGACATACATAGAAAACCTAGAATTATAAGAGAATTTCGGAATCTAGCAAGTTGCTTACAACTTGCAACCTCATCCTCTATAGACCACATTAAATTAGAAATCATCATTAATAAACAAAATATAATTCGATCGAGTTAACATTTTGACGTTTAAAAGAATGTTCATTTCTTGAAATATGCCTTCTACGTCAACAAAATTCGAGATGAGAAAAAAACTCTCAACTCCTCCAGTTGTATCACATGCAGAAATTTTTATCAATCGTTCTCCTCTTTCTCGAACCCTCTAGCAGTCAACGAACTTAACTAAATCTTTTAACTTCATCCCACACAGTCAGTTACATATACAGCAGCTATATCAAAGAATCCCTAAAGCAACCCATATTTCATTTCGACGTTAAAATAAACAAATTCTTAAATAATAGCTTCAGGAATTTTTTTTCGAGGAATTAAGGAAAAGATTACCATTAATTTCCCTTTTTACTACAAATAAAGGTTAATACAATTTTCTACAACATACTAAGTTCATTAGTACTTAAATTCTAATTACTTCGGATATTCATTACGAATCTCAATTCTAACACTATCAGATCCCGTAAGCCAAAAACTTGCTGGGAAGGAAACTTGTTTGATATCGGATTTCGAATCAAATTATTATGTTTTGAAAAAGTATTTTTAAAAATAACAAAGCGAGCTATCAACAGAGAGAGATAAGATCCAAACCAACTTCTTTGAAAGCATTACAAGCAAGCCGACGTAATTCCTTAAGTCGCTTCAGGAGATACGGTTGAACCAAATTCTCCATTGCCAAACGAGAAAGTAGTGCTGCAACCAAGCAAACCCGTAACAACAACCGTCTTTGGGCATTTAATAGCACTGGTGAAAGAATGGTTGCTATCAGTGAGATACTCCGAAATGATCTGAAATAAAAAATTTAGCCGAAACCAAATTTTGTCTAATAACAGATGATTCTATTCTAATCCGGTCTTATAGATCGAACCTTAACGTCCGAACAATCTGACATGTTTGCATCAGTAGTTTTCGAATTTTTTCAAATTAAAAAAATTGTGTAAGGAAAGAACAGAACATAACCTCAGTGAGGTTCACTTCCTTTTGGCAATCTCCAATTAGGGAAAACTTGGCGACTATTTTATTATATGATTGAATTGAAAAGGCGATCAATGAAACTGGGCAAGAATATGCAGCTTGCTCTTATTTATTGTACAAATGTTATAGAATGAACTATTTCATTAGTCATACTAGGTATATTTCAATACGTTCTTTTATGGTACTAGAAAGGGCAATAATCAATTGCTTTATCAACATTTGTTTTGATTTTTTGGTCATCCAGAGGTTTATGTTATTATTATACCTTTTTTGGGATATTAGGGAAGCTGTATTGTTTTTAACTGATAAGAATCATTTATTTGGTCTACTAGTCTGAATTTTATCTGCAATCATTTTGACAATGTTTAAGATATGAATTCCCAAACTGGTTTACTTTTACTTCTCTTATTGGCCTATGAATGTCTGAGAAATAGAAAGAGCATTTAGTAAAATGCATTTTGAACAACAAATAATAATTACTTTTTTCCTTTCATTTCGGAAAAAAGCATATCAAATTTCTTTTGATCTTCGGCCTACCTCTCAAGTTTCTTAATTTCTTCCAATGTCAAAACTAATACTCTCTACAATCTTAAACGATGACTTCTTGATGATCCCTCTCGTCTCGTTTCAGGCCATCATTAAACCTTACTACTGATTAGTAGTGTGATGAAGTAAATACTGTCAGAACTCTAGATTTATTTTGATTTTCTTTCACTGCTTTATTGCTCAAGTTCCATAGTGCTGCAAGCAGAATCCACTCCATTCTAATGCTTTTGCGCTTCATTTACCTAATTGGATCGTTCATTATGCTATCAATTGCTTCACGATATTCTCGCAATATTGGATTAATCATCTTGAAAACAAAAATCTGATAAAACGATGCAACAACAGAAATTGCTTCATCGAACCGTATTTTCAACCATCTAACGGCTTATTTGTTTGTCTTTATTAAAATACATAATGCGGAAAATCCATTTTTTGACTATTTATTCAAGGTTTTTTTTTAAAAATATATTCCTATCCAAAAAGAAAAAAAGCTCAGCAGTTGCTTTAACGCAATATCTCTCTCAAAAAATGCTTTACTTTATCGTAAATTTTCGAAAACAAAAACTTAAAATCGGTTTCAGCGCTAGATACCGAGATCCTTTTTGGTTATATCTCCATTACTCATTCACACTGAAGGAAGTTAAAAAACTGATAATTAAAAAATTAAATTAAAGTTTTTATGAAGGAATAACCAATACTGAAGAAGAAAAGGGTATGATTGTTGCCCATCACAGCTAAATGTGAGAGTACATTTTGTGTTTGGGGTCATAAAAGCTTTTTCTCTCAATCGAATTCCCTTGCGTCTTTAGTGCACTTAAATACGCTTTTATGAATAGTGCGGCTCATAAATGTTCATTGGCTTATACTTAAAAGAGATTTCCAGGAGAAAAAGATAAAATTTCTTAAACGATTTTACCTATGTCCCATTCTATGTTGAGATTTTCAATTTTCAAAAATTTAAGTTTCGCACAAACTACCACAGCTATCCTTTTTTTGTTCTAATATCTCTGAAACAGAGACATCCTTGGGATCATAAACGGTACCAATCCATTGAATTAGAATGTGAAAGATGCGGATTTTGAGAGGATAATCTTATGACTCATCCTTTCTGAATATATCTACGCAGGCAGCGAAAATACAGCCGTCTATGTGAAGCCAGTTATCTACCCAAAATGCTTACAATAGAAAACCTTTTTTCCCAACAAAAGCTCGTATCCTTTTTTTAGAAAAGCAGTCAATATACTATTCCCCGTCTCTGTTGAAAGAAAAATTCACCTGATTCTATAGTATAAGTTCACATGAAATCAAAAATAAAACTCTCAGTTTGTATAATCGTGAACGGATGTTAAATGCAAAAGTCAATTCGGTTTCACATCCTTGTATGAGTTCTCACGCCAACAAAACTAATTACCTTTGTAAAGCTATTCACCTTTCAATGTATTCAAAAAACTTATGCGATCAATAGAAGACCAGTTGAACAAATGAACGTAGTAAGAATGTGGACATGTGTTTAAGAACATCCATCCCTTTTTATCTAAAAGGAAGTTGTGTATGGCACAGTAAACTAACCATCTTTTGAAAAATATTTCAGACACACAAGTCCAGTTTCAATGAGTTCTAATTTTTAAGGATAAAAATTACCAACTCCTGCTTATTAATTAATCATTGTGCATATTCCAAAGATTATCCCTTCGGGATCACTTCTTGCCTCGTTGTTCCCGAATACAGTGAAGTTAAGAAAATATCTAAACATAACGTTATCCAAGTCATATAGTGTTGAGAGGGACACACACACACACATATATATATATGCGTATATACGCACAGCAACACAACTGTTCATTTCAATCAGCAAAATTGCTCTGTGGCATATCCAAACTCATAATGATGGTGGAGAACGGAGAGATGACTTCGAACAACTGCAATATGGACGTATCATTATCGAATCATATTAACTTCATCGAATTCCTGTTATCACTATAATGTTTCCTCTAAATCTTCCACGCTAATTCTTATCCTGCTGTAGGTTCAATGAACCTCACTGCTACACTTCAATGACTTCAATGAATCCCACTATGACGATTAAAACTTATTGACTTTTTTAGGCATCCTATTTTTCGATTCTATTTTTGGATTGCTCAAAATTATTATCATGATGAGGCTTCACCATTAGGTTAATACTCGACATCTATCGCACTTATGATCCGATTCGTGTTATTCCGATGTATGTATATATATTACTCATGACACATTTTCTTAGCATTTCATTCATCGTAAGCCCAATATTTCGTAATTTATCTCCCATTGGAACTAATGGATTTCAGATTTTGGAGCTAAAATATCATGTATAAAAAATATTAATGGGTTAAAAAGAAACTAAACACTATTCAAAATCAACTTTCTATGAAAAGAGAATGGTCAATCCAATCATGCCCGTATGTTCAATGGATTTACGAGAATCAAGGAAGTTTCCAGTATGCCTATCTCTCTTTAATATTATCATTGCTGCACGAGCCGTCTTCGTACAATCAGGAATTTTTGCCGAACAGGAATGCCTGTAAATTTTATTTAGTTGGAGTATTTTATTTTTTCATCTTATCCAAAAATTTAACACTACTATATACATCAATTAAGAAGCAGTTGCTATGTAAGAGGAATTTCATACTTTTCATAACGAGAGACTGTAGATAATTCCCTAACTACCGATATTTTTTTTCAGTTAACCTCTTTAGCTGATTTCCTGCAATCTCCAATAATAAAATATTTTATGAATAAAAGAAATTCATCTGAAAAGTGGTTAAATGTTAGAATATCTACAGATTCGACTCGACACTACACTCCAAATGGAAAGCATGCAGTTGCGAAAATCTTGACGGTGAGGGTAACATCCACGTGAAATGTCGCCGTCAACCGTGGACAATTATACCAACCATTCCTTATGATAATAGATCACTTTTCTCTCATAATGTTAGTTTAATTCTAGAATTTTTATCATTAGATTTGTAGCGCATGACTAAAGAAAAATAACTTGAGCTCTTCATTTTAGGATACAGTTCATAACATTGTTGCATTAACGGTTATGCACAGTAATGTGGCATTTATCAATCAGGATACATTCAAACATCACAATATCCAAATTCTCGATCTCACCGACAATCACATCGAAACAATCAATGTTAACGCTTTTCGCGGTCTTGAGGTTGAAAGATTCATTTAGACATTTCAAAAATTAAATTTTTTTAATTCCTCAAAAATAATAAGAAAAGATGCTTACGCTTCCGATGCATGTCAGAAATTAGTTAATTCGAGGATGGTAGAAAGATCTTTTAATCTTTTTTTCCTTCAGAACAAACTTTATCAACTAACATTGAATCAGAATAGCTTGACGTCAATACCATCTTGGGCGATGACATATCTTTACCAGCTGCGGTATTTGCACTTGGTTCATAATATGATACCCGAAATTAAATCGAATACATTTGATGAAACTCAACTCAAAAACCTTCATTACTTACACCTCGACTATAATCAGGTTATCAAACTCATTTCAATTCTGCTACTATTATGCACTGAAAGAGCTCAAGTAGCTAGTCCACGGTATTTTCAGAATTTCAAAATACCAGAGAAACTTCCTTACCATCTATTGCAGATAAGTATGCTACCAAAAAAATCGCTTCTACGACTTCCACTGCAAGTGCTGACGCTTTCAAATAATCGGATCACTGAGATTGAAAAACTGGCACTACCGACGACAGTATGGTTCTTGGATTTGAAAAATAATCTCATCCCCGAGGTATTTACCATGTTTTTCACAGAGGTCATCGATCATATCCAAAAACTTCAAAAACCAAATAATTTGACAAGCTACGGGTTCAACGAAAATTTGAGATTCCATGAAGTGCAAAAATTTTTAGATTCAACTTTCATCTGCTCACTTGCTCACTAAATTTCTCGATAATATAAACTAGCTTCTCAGAAAATATAAAATTTCATTGAAAACTGCCCAAGCCACATTTTCATACCAGCTGGCAAAACATAATCTTGGCAAGCATGCAAGAAATAACTACTCAACATGATCACCGAGCTGATCAAAATTCTTGTGTATCAAACCTGACAACTTTTAAAAAGCTGAGAGTATGAGAAAATGAAAATTGTAAAATAAACTCATATTAGGTACAAAAACAAAACCATACGATACAGTAGTTGTGATAATAAAATTCCAAAAAGAGGGAGGAATTTGAAAGGAAATTGTAGAAAGCACATAAGAAAAAGATATGTCACATAGAATCCACAATTTCCGATTTCCTACAATCGCTACAGACTTAGTAGTTTGCAAGCTCATACTGATAGGAATTAACACCAGCAGGAGTCCACTGTTTTTTTCATTACTAGATTCTTCCAACTGATTCTCAAATACAAGGCTAAGATTTTATCAAGCTGATGTCAAACATCCGAAACAACATGCTATATATTACGATATTTTATTAAATAACGTCATATTTGTTATGTTAATTACCAATCTACAATACCCCTTTGCGGTAGAATTCAGCACTGAGCGTCCAAATAAACGACAGTAATATGAAACAGCAAATGATGGAAAGACATGTAATAAGGCAAAATGTACTGATCATATACTTTAAATTTCCAGATACCGTACCTCGCATTACGAGAGTTGAAACAATTACGCACTTTAGACTTGGAGAGTAATAATATCACTGAAGTTACTAACAACCCCGAAGTGAAATTTACTTCAGAAATCGATCTAAAACTAAGTAATAATCGAATCAGACATATTAAAGATAACGCTTTTGATAGCTTCCAGAAGTTTGGTCGACTAGATTTAAGCTACAACCAGGTATGATCTTGGATATTATAATTCCATAAATCAAAGAAATGGGAGCTTGCGGTTAAGCCTACAATGATATTATCTCCTAATATAATCCATAAATGAAATATGCGCTGATTCAAATCAAATCAGAAGTATAATGGATAGAAAATATAAAAATAGAAGATTCGAAAGCTTACTTTTAACTTTCAACTTTCAGATTTCGACAATCTCCGAAGCTGCCTTCAATTCAATCAGTGAAATACGACAAATAGACTTAAGCTACAACAGAATAGTACATATACCAGCAGCAACATTCAAAAATATGGCCAAATCATTGAAATGGATGAATTTGGAAGAGAATCAATTACATCAATTACCAAATGCACTGCAGCCGTTACGGACATTGGAGATTTTAAATATGAATGGCAATAGATTGACTATGTGAGTTAACTTTCTTTTTTGACTTTTGAGTGAAAAGCAAAAGATAAGAAAAAAGATAAGAAAAAATTGAGATTAAATTTAGTCCCAACTAACAAAATAACTCAACATGAATCGATAATCTTTCATAAATCAATAATCATAACTAGCTACACATCCTTGACGCAACCTTAAATCATTTCGATTTCATTATGTTACCTAATAAATGGTAGGCCATACCATAATCGCTTTAATAATAATAATAAGTGAGTCATTTTACAGATTGGATAACAACACGATCAATGACCTGAAAACAGTTTTAACCGAGCTTCTCCTAGCATTTAATCGACTGACTGAGATACCAACCCAAGTACTGAATGGGATGAGTAGGTTACGGCATCTCGACTTATCGAAAAATAGGATTCGGTGTGTGCAACGCTTGGCTTTCGGAAAATTTGATGGCACCGGGACAAGTTTACTAAAGTTGAATTTGGCTGGAAATCTAATCGAAAATATTGCTGAATCTGGTGCTTTCCTCTATATGAGTTCATTAGCATATCTCGATTTATCGCACAACCGTATCAGCTACCTTAATGATAATGCCTTTGAACGACTCGAGGGCCTCGAAACCCTTTTTTTGCAGGTTAATAGAATCAGTACTTTTTAAGACATCTCTCATTACTAATTAAAGACCTTGCTCATATTTAGCATAACTTAATAACATATATCATCTATTTCCTTTATATGATAAAGCACATATTCTCATTTGAAGATCTATTTCATTTCAGAGCAACCAACTCAATCAATTTCCCATCACTGCTCTTGGTAATATGAAACGGCTACATTATTTACTTCTGGACGATAATCCGATAAGGGTTCTACCTGATTATGTTCTTCACGGTCTTCGATATCTGCAACGGCTATCGCTCACCCGTACAGAACTTCTGCATATCACAGATCGCACATTCTCTGGTCATTTTGCACCAAATTTACGTTCCTTGAATTTCGCTTTCGGCCACATTGATTATATTTCTACCGCAGCATTCAATGGAATGGAGAATTTGGAACAACTAGCACTTAACAACAACAAGCTAACAAGTATTCAGACACTAGTGAGTTTCCGATTATCCGATAGATGGGAATGTAAAATTGCAAAAATTTGTCAGCTACTTCGGTAAAAGTTTGAAAAGTCAATTTTTCTATATTTTATATTTGATCAAAACAAATTATGCAGACATTTTCGTCGCTACGTAATCTACGCCAGCTCAGTTTGGCAGGAAATGCGATCAACATGACAATGGAACGGTCAATAACTGATATACCAACCCTAGAGAATTTGTCATTGGCTCGAAATCGTCTGACGCAACTAAACAAAGCAACATTCGTAAATTTAAATAATCTGGAGCAACTCGATTTAAGCTACAATCAACTTCGGACATTTGACTTTACATTCTTGGCTCAAAGTCTGGTGAATGTCAAACATCTTGACCTATCACACAATCGAATCATTACGTGAGTTATTTTCGAGAAATATAGTGTGATTGATTTGAAGCTAAGCAAACTATGGTAACAAAGCATCAATGACTGCACCCGTCAAACGGATTGAAATTTCGTTTCGAAGAATGTGGGTTCTCCCAGTTAAAGGATACAAAAACGGTGAATTCCCCTACCAACTACTCATATATCGAAATTATATTTCTTTTTATTATATAATAATCCGAAGTCTGAGCCAGTTTCAACATATCAAATAAATTCAGAATTACTTGCAGGATTGACTTGCACTCAGCAAAACGAACTTTGATGTATCTGAACCTAGCACATAATCAATTACAATCGATCGGGAAAAATATGCTGTATGATTTTAGTCAACTAAAAGTCCTCAAACTAGATCATAACGAACTGATTGAACTACACGGCAACGCATTCGCAATGTGTAGACGGCTCAGCGAACTCGACTTATCTCATAACCATCTCAGGATATTGCAAAAAGGCATCTTTGCAAAGCAGGTACATTAAATGTCTCAAAAAAAGGCTTTAAAATTGTATCTTTCTATGTTTTGAATCATTGTAATGCAACATAATGTAAAATACGATTCCAATATCGGAAACAATGGAAGACCATATTAAAAAACCGACATAGCTGCAAAGATGCAGCTATTTAAAAAAAATTTTTTGGTAGAAAACGGAGATAATCATGATAATATCGTTCGCTTTTAAACTATACAATTTTTAACGAATGAATTTACAGAATATTTACGACAGTCTTATATTGCGAAATAATGCCATCATTAGCTTGGACATGGACACATTTGGAGCCAATAATGTTCACAAACTTGATCTCGCTTATAATGAACTCAAGAAAATACCTCAACACGCATTCAGTTCAATTCAAAATAGCCTTACTAAACTGAATCTAAGAGTACTTCTAGTCGAATTCCAGTTTTTTAATTGCCTTTGAGAAGTAATCGAACTACTAAGAGAAAAAAACACTATTCAGTTTCATCTCTTCCCACCAATTGTCACTATCTACTCTCTCCTACGGTTACAGAATTTCACACTAAAATAGTTATTTTTTGCTACAACGTATATTCTAACATTTCGATTTACTTCAAGATCTGAATGATGAATACGATACAAACTATAACGTTATCGATCAAATTATTTGAGCATTATAGTCATTAAATGGGATAAATTACTGATAATGATAAATACAACAGTGGCATTTTTCGGGCAATACGAGTTTAGCATAATTAAGGGAAATGGAATCAAATCGATAAATGCATATGATTTCGATGATATGGAGAATCTAGCGGAATTAATTTTGGCCGATAACCATATCGAAATAATTGAGGAAGCGGCATTTTCAAAGATGCAAAAGCTGATAAAACTGGATCTTAGCCACAATCCCATTACGTCATGGAATCCACACGCATTCCGAGTAATATTTTTCAATGCTTATTTCAGTACTAAATTCATCTGGATTGATGCACTGAAGGAAATGCAAAACAACGAAAAAAATCTATCAGTTTGGCTTTAATTTGAGATATCCTTCTTTGAAAAAGTATAACCTTAAAAGCTTTCCAGGACTTGAGTAACGCTATTAAAACACTTGATCTAGCAAATACAGGTTTATTTTCACTACCGAAAATTGATAACCACGGACTTCGACTTCTGAATATTAGCAAGTAAGTAGTAACGCAACGAATTTTATCATAAAAGTGAACGTTTAATTACATGAAGTTTTTTGAATAATTTGTATGATTCACTTCGACGTGTAATTTCAATGTCTAGTTAACCCTTAATTCGTATATTATGTCTGAATGTTTGATTACTCGAAAAATATCGAAACTTAGTATTCGATTTTAACATCAACACTCTAGGCACTTCTATTTCCATTTAAGTCAATATATTTCAGTCTTAAAAATATTAAAAGAACATTCTAGCAATAAGATTCATGAAGTGAATGCGGCACATCTCATCAACAATCGAAAATTGGCAACATTAGATATCTCTTACAATAATTTTAAAAAACTTGATCCAGAAATGTTAGCCGAACTTGTTGAATTGAAACATCTGAATATTACCGGGAATCCAGTTATCACAATCACGGAGAGACATCTTCAAAATCTATATAATGTAAGCATTTCTAAAACTACTTATTTCATATAAAATTAGGCAAAAACTTTTTTTGCTTTCCATTATTATTAAGTAATTGTTCCAAATCCAGGGCAATTGACTGATTCATTTAATGTTTCAGCTTGAAACGCTCAGATTATGCCATATGGAAAAGTTGCTTCGTCTACCGGAACCACATTCGTTTCGAAACTTACATCATCTTCGAAATCTTTACGTAATTACTTTAATACATTCATGCCATTTAATGCACATACTACACTTATCTGCAAAACCTGCAGCTCATTTCTATATATAAAAATTTCTTTCACTAAAAAGTCTAAACTCATCTCAACTTTCAGATTTACAACCTTCCTAATGTGCAGGGTTATAACATATCAGATATCCTCAAACATCTACCTCCATTACGCATTCTGGCTGTAGAAATCAAGGAAACACGCTTAACAACGCAGATGGACAGTGCTGACTTTAGATTACTAAGAAAAATTATAATCACCGGGAAACAGTTATTTAAAGTATGTCATCAAAAATTTTGCATTTCCATTGGCTGAAAATTCTTGTATGATCTGAAAAAAACTAGTGTGCCACAAACCTTGGAACTTCTTGGCATCAAAATTCGACAAGGTCTAATTTTCTTACGTTAGGAGTGATCCATGTAATTTTCTAGCTTAATGTAAAAATTCGCCACAATAAAAATGCGCAATTTTTACTCCAACTTAAATTTTTCAAGTCAAAATCCAAGATTTGAGCTGAATAACTTCAGATCGATACAGGTGCATTTGCGCAGCTACGTGGTTACAGAGTAGACTTAACGGTACGTGACACCGGAATCGAAATATTTCCATCGTCCGCATTCAATACCTTAACTGCCATTAGTTTCCTATCTCTTTCACTACAGAACAACCACTTACAAACCTTCGAACCATTTCCGCATACCAAACCACCTGTGCTTAATCAACACGGTACTATATTGTATGATCTACAACTAACGGTAGGCATTCAAAAAATCATTGTCGTATATTATCCTACTGGATATTTTAATCAAAAAGATCAATTTAAATTTGACGAAGAATAATGCAGTTTGAATTAGTACTGAATCTCATTTCACTTGTCAATAAGCTTCAAGATATGAAATGAATTATGAGATATGCAACTCGAAAAAACGAAAAATGAGGGAGAAGGATTCAACAAAAGAATATTAAAATAACAGCAGGAAATGGAGCAGTCGTTCTGATGAATTTTTGAACAAAATTCTTATTACCGATAAAAGAGCTGCAAAACGCGAAAAAATACTGAAGACGAACGCCCATAGTATTCATAAATTTATTAAATAAATTCTCAAATCTTCTTGAAAACAAAATGAAGTACAGTTGTAACTAATTTCAGGGTAACCCGATCACATGTGACTGCAGACTTAATTGGATTGGTAAGTGGGTTGAATATTATCAAAGTGTTAATTCAGCCTACGAACAACCCCTCAATGACACCTACTGCGCTGATCAGGTCGGTGACAGTGCAACGCTTCATAATGCCTACTCATCAACGGATCGTATAGTGTGCACAGCAGACAATATCACCGGCAGTTGTCAATCAATATGTACTCTCTTTAACCTTTTATTTCCACTTTTGTTGATAATTTTGAATTAATTATATTACTTACCGAAAATTTCAATAATAAAAATTTCAACTATTTCGAAAAGCCAAGGCTGGTACCTCGCCAATAAAAAAGCAAAATAAACAGTCATTCCTGCAGTGAACTACCAAACAGCCGTACTAATCTTCGAATTGAATTGCGTATGTTATTGCATACATTATGTTGGTCTCTTCTCTATCATTCATGCATCAAAAATAATTATATTTTAAGAAAAGAAAGGCAAACCCTTTGATAATCTGTAATGGAACCATTGATGAAGAATCAAAAGTTGAAACTGTTCGCTTACAAAATATTTCCAGTGACTGTTCTTCACCTACAATTCAGAACTGATGTTTACCTGTTTATGTTTAAACTGAGTAACTGCAAATTTCGTATGTAATACAATCACCAACCAATAACTTTCAGCAAAGGTGCAAAGAGCAGCTTCAAAAAGAAATCCAGTTCATTTGGAGTGCATCCAGCAAGAAACCGAAATAGAGTTGCACATCGCTCCGTCATATTTTTTTTACAATGTATGTTACATTTTCCGTACAGAAGCCTGGAAAAGTAAAATGTTGGGACAAAGCTGACACCTGCTGGTAGAACTCAACTTTTAAGACAAACCAAAATTATAAATGGATAAAAAAATCAAATATTAAATTTGGGGAAAAAATACTGGTGAAATATTGACCTCAATACAATCTGCATAACACCAGCACGATGATTGCTGTCAATCACGGAATTATAATAATCAATCGAAAACTTCACCAAATTACTGATTAAGGTTCGTTCTTGCACCAGACTTTCTAGATATTCTCTATAATAATAAACTTTCATCAAAAGACTTCATGCAAAGCAACACAATGTAAAAATTGTTTGTCAAATTCCTCAAAATCCTCTAAATAAAACCATGCTTTATGTCATCTACTCGAATATTCCAATTTCCTCAATGTATCAAATTTCAGATCTTGAAGAAAAACTGTATTAATAAATCTCGAGAAAAAACCTGTAGGGTGTAAGATATTTATAATTATAGGTAAAAATGCATTTCAATGCCCGCTGTTGCACTGCTTCATCACCGACCATTAAAAGCTAAAAAAATACAATTGCTATAAAAACGTGCAGAGAATACACCCGATATTAGTTGCAACAATATTTTCTTTTAATAGCACCCTATCCTACCCAACAGTTGACAACTAAACAATTAAGAAAACATCATTAACAAACATTAAATGAAAGTTCAATGAGTCGCTTCTTACTTCGTTGTATAAATCTCGAATTTCATTGGCCATGTAGATAGTTTTTGGTGAAGTGAAGTTTGAGAACAATTCCAGAAGAGTAATTAGGCTATTCCTAATCAATTTTCTCTCAATGTATACGTCTTCTTTTTCTATCTTTTTGTCGTTATTTTCTGGTTTTTCAGTGCCAAATCTGTGAAGATATCAATCATTTATACTGTATCAACATAAAGCACAAAAAAGAAATGAATTATATCATTTTTGAACTATACATTCTATAAACTAACACTTGTGAATCGTCGTTAGCATTATGTTTCCTTCCATTCTTATCTGTAGAGCAAGAAAGATTAGGTGAAGCCCCTAATAAGGTGCTTTCTCGTCTCTCCAACAGATTTTCTCGTTGATATTCATTTCTGCAATCCGAAAGAACTCAGCAAATTAATCTGATGGGATTACATAATATAATTCACTTGACGGACATGCTCTCTATTTTAAATTGTTATCCGTTGTTTAGCCTAGCAATGCTTTTGATAATTCTACCAATATTTTCAAAGATCTTCAAACGACTTCGTAAAACTTAATTAGCACCAATCCATACTACTATATTTAACCTACTAACACCTATTCGTCAACGCTTGCATGATCCATCAATGGAAATATGTTGAAGAAATGTATCCCGTAATGACTAAACGGAAAAATTTTAATGTGCTAGAAATGAAATCGCTAAAATTGGAAAAAGCTAACAAAATTTTTCTATCAAATTTGTACAATTTGCTATTAAATTTTTGCAATCTTAAAAATTATATTTACCTAAAAAGACGAATCAAAAGAGGACTCAGCAGTTTAGTTCGACGTTCACACAAATCACTTATATGACTAAGAATCCCAAACATTTCCAATCGAAAGGCTCCATAATTCCGAGGATTTTTGTCACCGATAATTGTCATTTTGTCAAGCACATCACAGTTTGAACTGCCACTACTTTCAGATATAACTGCAAACAAAAAAATAATATATAATCAAACTCAATCATGGCAAAACTCAGAACAGGAAGACCGCATCAGTACATAAGGATTTTATTAGGATAAGAACACAACCAAGTATCACTGGAACACATCATACCACTCAAACCCACGCATAACAATATCGAGATGATCAAACTATTAATATTCACAAAACACAAACCATACTGACTCTTTAACTCCATTTGGTCGACAAAAGGCAAAAACAGTGAGAAAAATGTATCAATATTTAATCCATAAGCATAATCTTGAATAATATTTTTCAGCTCTTTCCATGCAATCGTGAACGGTTCATAGAGATTCCCAATAATAACACGCAAAGGAATCTAAACAATAAACACCATTCTATCAAAATACATCATTTGATAACGAAAAATCTTTCCATTTAGTTCCATTTTTCGAGAATATCCTGACAATTTTAGTCAATTTTTTAGAAAAGGTCAATTAAATAGCGCATAAATTGAATGAAAATTACTTACTGTTTCAATTGTTATATCAAAACCTTGCGGCATATGTTTTGTATGTGCGCCGTAAGTAAGTTGGCGTAGAATCATCAAACGGGTCCTATATTCTCCTAATGTCCATGGTGTTCTTTCAGATCGTAGGAGAAGATTAAAAACACTTTCTATTTCGATCTGAAAAATTCATTTCTAAATCGAAAGTTACAAATTTCTCAAGATCTGAATTTAATAAAAACAATTTTATGAGACGATCTTTTCTATCTCCAAATTCTAAAATCAAACTGAAAGATAAACTAAAACAATCTACCTACTAAAAAGAGTACGAAATGGACTTACAGTTGTTTCATTGTTGTTATTCATATTATTCACTGGAACATTAAAATGAGTCAAAACTTCTAAAGCGATTTGCCGTACATAACTGCTCCAATGGCCAAACATTGGCAAAATTTCATTAGCTACCTATAGAAAAAATTTAATAACTGAAAGATCCAAAAATCAGTGGAAAGTTTAATAGGCCAGAAGAAATAACTGCTCCACTCGTCAAACATTAGCATTATGATTGCAGATATCACGAAAGATATGAACAAGAAATCACTACCAATTAAAACTTAAATGGTATGTTTTCTTCAAAAGATCGAATTATGATAGCGTGTGCCTTCTGATGTGTATGTATATAAGGTTACAATTTTCTTCGTTTACTACGAGCATTACGTTTCTCTTCAATGCTCAATAAAATTTAATCTCATATATTACATAAATTAAAGCGTTTAAAATTGCATTTCTATAATCTATCCCACTTCAGTGAATTTACAGAATCAATCTTTACATCAACAAAAGTATATAAAACTTTCTCTATTTCAATAAGAAATTTTCTTCAGTTAGAAAAATTTTCAAAAATGAAGAATGATGAGCAAATCTCTTCATAAATTATCGGAGCATTAAAATGCATTGCAAATAAAATTGCTTGTAATCCCTTTCATAACCATTTAAAAACAAAATGAATATATGACTAATTTTTATATTTACTATTATCCTTCGCCAATCCATAAAGTCGGGGAAAAACTTTGTAACCTTGGTCATAGCAGAAATATTTTTCAGTTCCTCGAAATCTGCGACGAATGGCAACATCAAAGCCAAAGTACGGAGAGCTGCTTCGTTATTTCCCATGTTTTTATAATATTGCAGCAGAGTATCAAGAGTAAATTGTTTAAATAAACCGGGATCAAACATGAGACATGCATTTGCAGCAAGAAGAGATAAACGTGCATCAACGCGATCTAAGCTGCTCATTGAAGTTACCAGAATCCTGAATACAGCAGCAATTCCTGAAACAGAATATACAGTTATTAATTAACAAGCGAATTCTCTCTTATTTCTTTTTTTCTTTTAAAATAGTTTAGTACTTCCAAACTTTAGAATTATAAAGAAAAGAGAAGCGAAAGAATGATGAGATCTGAAAATGACATCATGTGTACTACCATCTATCTCGCGATGTATTTTTCAGTCTTACCTTCTGGGTTTTCGGACGGATTCCATAACCAAGGATAAGTCATCAAACAACACCCCACAATTTCTGCATCAAATTTATCTGCCGATTTCAGGATATCAATGAGTCGACTGCGTAATTCCAAATGATTAGATATATCGAAGAAACAATTTCGCTCTTCTAAAGAACAACTTAATATTACATATACATCCCTGTCATCCCTGTCAATTCTTGTAAATCTCTTTTTTACCTTTATATTTCCAAATCGGTCTTCGTTTGCTGCACAAATCCGCATAAAATCTAAAAATTCTGCTAATGATCTGAGAGTCCTCTTGTTTAACAAGCTGTGACATGAATGTACCAACAATAGGCATTATCCAAATATCAAATAAAGAAACATCGGAGATCTCATAAAGAAAATCAAATACCACATTGAAATCACATCTGAAAATGTTATTTGAAATATGGAAATATATTAAAGATAGAAATAATAATGTTCCTGTAGAAAATTATGCGCAAAATAGCAGATTTCAATTTGTCGTTAGCTCAAACACATAAAAAAACATCAAAACGAACTTCTGGTCATCACTCATGAGCATACGGACTACTGTGGTAATCAAGATGTGTAATTCACTATCGCCGTGATACCTGAAAAATCCCCTTCTAGAAGTTAACTTTTTGCAAAATTGGATAGTTTTCAGAGTTGCGATGCTACAATAGATTGATGTTATAGATCATTATGAATGGTTTTTTGATAATGATTAAAATGTGCTAATTCAATGACTGAAATCGATTTTAAAATTACAAAAAACCAAAACAGAGATAATAAAGTCACAGAAATGGCTGAAACTTCAGCTGAACAATAACACTGAAATTTAGAAGTATTATCTTAGCCTCGAAATTTGGAAATATTATCATTGCCATAACGCTGAAATTCCGAAAAAATTAAAAAATACGCCATCAAATTAACCTCATGATTGCATTACTGAGTAATCCAACAGTCTCTTTGTCCATTAGTCCAGTTCTACTTTTCGCACCATCTATTATAACTTGAAACAAAGATGATGGCTTATGCAGCGACCTGCCCATTTTTTGGCTTATCCAAGCATTTAAGAGCTTGGACAATGCCGAACTTTTTATTATGTCTAGTGATGCCAGAGCTGATTTGTATTGCTTCTAAAAAGTTAGAAGCCTAGGAGCTCGAAATATTTATAAAAATTGCAAAATTCCATTTCTTCTCAATTTCAGCTTCGAGATAGAAGGCAGAGTCACAAAAAACTTTCATCATCCTTATTACTATCTTCCTTCTTGCCATCACAGAAAGCTTACTGGTTCCCCCTTCCGCCCTTTATGAAATTATATATTAAAAAGTAATAGAAACCTTTAATCAATCACAAATCTAAATTTGAAATGTCAAAAATTTTGCGAATTCTTCAAAGATCTCAAGAGATTACCAAAATGACATCCACAAGCAATTCACTATATTCCTTCGATGTGTAGGCGCTACACTGACACATCGTGCCTACCAAAATCTGGATCGCAATATTTCTGACACCATTTTCCTCGATTTCGAATGAAGCTTGCAAAATTTCTGACAGCAGCTATAAGTCAACTTACATCAATATGCAATATAAATTGGAATGATAATAATTTGCCATTATAATTTAGTCAAAATTCTTGCGTGTTCCATATTTTGCGCTCGAAAACACACAGGAAACAAATCATGCCGGTGCAAAAACCTGCCTGCGGAGCCGTGCTGTGGAACTGTCCACCGGTAATCTTCAGAGCATTGAAATATAGTCGAGATATGCCATCAATAAGCAACGAATTGTTGATCTCCTGCATTTAAGTAATATTCAGTTTTAATTAATCGAATTCATGATGCTTCGCAAACATGGGTCAGTCGATCTATTAACCTCCCTTGTGACTAAAAACAAATAAAGATTTTTACATTGTGTGCTGTTTCTGCCAAAAATGTTATAAGCTTCATAACTGCATTCGACTTCCGCAACAAAAATGCAAGAGCTTCGGCAGTGAATCGACGTAAATAAGATCGTTTACAGCAAAAAATTCGTTTAAAGCGCCTGGAAAAATATATAAAAGTTTAGACCGACTATCTATGATACCAAACCTCTAAAGGAGAAACTAACCGGAAAACTTCATGTAATTCACAGACAAGATGTCGCCGTTGCAACCAAAAAATCTTGGCTAATGTAAAAAAGACAGTCTCCAGAATTTCTCTATCCTCGTGTGACCTTTCTAATATGCCTATTATAGCTTCCATAAATTCCCATATATAACTTCGAAAGTCTTCTCTTATATCCTGCACGAATGCGGTCGTCAATCTGGAATAATTTTGTAACACTAACTTCGACAAAAGGAAAAAATGAAAGTGGGTAATAGATGCCATCCTTACAAGAATATGAAACTTTTCTCAAGGTTTCATAACAAACAGAAAAAATTACTAGAGAATATTTACCCAAAAACGCCAATTTAATGAATCAAATTGATAACCTACTCTAACAACGTGTTTAATGAAGTACTTCCGGAAATGTTCAAATGTTTGATTAGAGCCTTTGCTACAATATCTTTCCGATGAAGAAGCTGTGCATATGTTCGTAATTCACCATTGAAATATGGAATATCATTCAGGAAGCTCTCTGAGGTAATAACATGCACAAATATGAGCAAAAAATATGTTGTGAAAATTACACATAAGATTATTAGAGAGACTTGCATTTTGCTTTTACAGAGCTGACAACAGCGTAAAAAACTACTTTTCCAAGATATATTATCGAAAAATTTCTACATGAATCTTACCAAAGTAGGAGCCGTAATCCAAATCTTGGTATTTGGTAATTGCATCACTAAAATGAGTTTCATTTTCCGCCGAAGCAGCAGCTGCTATTGTGAGATGCCATCGAGCTATATCTACACTTACTTTGGCAATTCGATCCGTGAATGATACATACTGAAAGCCTAATCCATTGATACAATGTTATATCATGTCTTTTTACCTACAAAGCAGTCATACAAATATTCTTAGTTTTCTATTATACAGCACAAATCAACAAAGTCACAGTGAATGGTTTTTACCAGTAAACATTCACAAAAAAAGAAATTTGCAAGATAAACTTATATTTTCTTCATCATGACTTTCTAGTTACACAATAAAAACTCTAACAGTAATCCCACGTACTGATATATAGGAAAATTAATGATGGATAAATTCATTGATATATATGAGGGGTAAATTACAGCGAAGAGGACTAAATTACAGCACAGAAAAAAGCTTTTAAGGTGCAAAACTCAACTGCAGAAAGGTGACAACGATGTTGATAAATGAAAATTATAAAAGTTCTGTATGATGGATAATAATAAATAGTAAGCAAATGATGGTAATATTTAATATATACAAATGAACAACGAGAATAAACAAACCACTAATCGATTATTCGAACTCGATCTTATTTTCATTCCTTTCGCTTATCCAGATAAAGAACTTCTGAGGATATTTATTTATTAGATATGCCGAAATAAGAGTATAACACAAATAGTCCCCAATTCGTCAATTGCGCTACCGCTAGGACAAAAGTATTCCAACATTCACACTTACGCGAGCTCAAACTCATTTTACCTCAAACCCGCCGTGCTTTACAATACCAGTGGAGAGTCGTAAAGAAGAAATGATTACCCGTCCGGAGCGGTGTGAAAATTTTTTTGTTCCCCTGCGACTCTTTCTCCGTCCGGAACATCTTGAGGCATACTATTTTCCTTATTTGATGAATTGCCTTTTCCTTCAATGTATCTTCGATTAATTATTTATCTTCGACTTATTAGACTATCAAACGTCGAAAGGACCAGTTACTAACCCTTCCGATGATCATTGCATGGTTCAGTCCTTGGTCAACTGTCAATTTCGAATAGCCTCGTTGTACTCACGCCCACTTCACTAAAATCCTTATTGTTTCAGCATAGGAATTACATAAATCTTGCTTGAGATGATTAAAGTTATGACAACTTCGTTGGAAAGGATTTTTATTAGTATTTTGTCTGCAGACGATATAGTTGTTGTCGTGAGAATTTCTGACCTGAGTATTTTGTTGTTTCGCAAATATTTTTGTAAAGGTTTACTCTTCGTGGAAGATGAATTTTTGTTCTTCCTAACGTTATAAGACAATATCGGAAGAGAATAGCAGGGCAAAGTAGAGTCGATAATTATTTGGTAATATTCCTGGTAGTTTGAAGACCGTCCGTGGCAATGGTATAAACAGTACTCCCTTGTGTAAATAATGATAATACTGTCGCATCGAATTAAGGCCAACTATTTAAAGCCCGTTTTTAGACAAAGAGCACTTTGTGCTCAAAGTATGCTTTACATTTACAATTACTAGAGAACAAAGCATCTTATATTCTTTAGACACAAGCAAGCAAAATGAACAAAGGATTAGCTTAACAATTGAAGCAATTTAACGCATTTATGGGCAAGTACTTTGCTTATTTAATACAAACATTGCTTTATAAAATTATTTCAATTTTCCCGACAGCTATTATCATTCTTCAAGTGTTCAATTATGTGTATGAAAGTGTTGATTCATATTTAGGCTTGTTGGTATTAAATTGATGATGAACGAGACCTCAGATCTAGATATTACTTCCCTCTTAACGCAATTACTTAAAGGACTTTTTTGGTAAAATATTTGATTAGTCTGCAGAAATTTGAATCCCTTTCTACTTTTAGCCAGGTGGAGTAATTTTATTGAACTGTAGATATTACCGTTCTAAATTATGCAAAGATTAAATAAATCACCATAATCACTATATCCACAAAGCATTCGCATGCTTTTGTGATTATGGTGATTATGGTGATATAGTTCAATGCAAATGCGAATGCAAATGCTGATTACAATTATTGATGAATCATCGCATGCTATGGCTGTAACATGTAGGAAGGAGGGAATTCACGGATCAAATCTAATAGTATATCCCATTGCTCGAAAAGTTGATTCTAAAAGTTCTTGCCAGAGAAATCAAAGAACATAAAAGTCTTTGATTTCTCTGGCACTGAAAAAAATTGAAATAATGCACTGCTGAGACTAAACAGTGGAAATTTTATGCATATGAAGTCAAGAGGATGGGTCATTCAATGTCGACGGGAATTTTTGGCAGTCTCCAAGTGAGCCAACGATATGGCCCAACGATGAGTGTGTTGTCGGCAGTTCGGGATTCCTTTTGGGCTTTAGATTGATTACCGTTGTTATACTTCTGAAATATAATATTTAACATATTATATCTGGGAGATGTCAACAATATTCTGGTGGAAAATTGCAAGAAGCAAGAACTTCCAAAGTTGTGCCTAATACTACCAGAAAGTTGTGATCATTCAATGATGCATGATGTCGGAAGGACAATGTAGAATGCCCTCAAATAGAATTTGTATGGAGCGGTAACGAACATCATTAATGGTATTCTTCCATTCACTCTTCTCTATATTCAGTTCTATTCGATGACTATCACCGGTGTAAAGTTGTTCGTCAGAAGCTGACAGATGAAGGCAGTCGTCGTGTGAGAATTTCGGTCGTGACCTGCTAAACCAAACATAAAACTTAAGAGAAAATATGTACATAAAGTTAGAAAACGTAGAAGTGCTCCGGCTGGTGAGGCTAACCCATGAATTTCTGATGCCAAACCAAACTCGAAAAAGAAAGTATGCTTTATTGACAGTTTTGGGAAGTTAAGTCTAGATATTTCCTGAGTCTCAAAATATCCCGGATGAAATTCATCTACAAATAAATTCACACCTAAGCATGCTGGCAGCGAATTCATTCGCTAACGATAGAAAATTGACGATAGTTTCATAAACGGTTAAAATTGAATCGAGAATAATATTTTTAAGGCGTATGTTAACGCCTAAATCCATTTTTCCACTCATTTTGCATTGTGTTGTTTCGGACTGAGATCGAGTAATTTTGATTTGATCCAAACAAGAGGCTGACGACATCTGTGGCGCCGAATAGCTTCTTGCAATGAAAGACTGCGGGATTTACCGAAAGCACGAGAGATTTTTATTTAAAATCAAATTTTATAAATTTTAAAATTTGTCAACAAAGTATCAGTGGAATTGGCTTCAATAAATTAAATAGAAATAAGTACCATTTGGGGCTTAAAGTTCACTTGTGGTCGAACACTGAAATTCCACCGCAAGGCACTAATCGGGTTAGGCCATGAGAAACAATGCCAAATTGCTGACAGAGCAAAAATTACCATTACCGCCTGGAACATTTAACTAGAATGGTTGCACGAGAAGGATTAAATGATATTTGTGGAGGGTAAGATACGAAGTATTAAACATTGCTTTTTTGTTATGAGGAACTCTGTGCTGCAAGTAGCTTCGAAAATATTGGTGAGGTCCTGACTAATATTTTCGAAAGTCAGCACATTTTAACCAAATTTTTTCTCATTCTGTCTTACTTTCATAACGAGAAATCAGTATGGCCCTTCTTTTTCTTCCAAACTTGAAATACGATACAAATTCAAAAGACAAATGTGAAAGTGAGCAAATTCAAATAATCTGTAGACCTCGGCACGAACTTTATTTAGAGAAAAGCTTTCTCCATTCGAATAAACGGTAGTTTTGAATCCTTTAATGAGGAATGAATGCAGAGGATATGTGATAGCATGTAGAAGTTTGAGATGAAATATTCCCATCGCTATGATCATCCATAAGTAGTTCCCAATTCTCCATTTGAAAAGCCAACTCTGAATCTTTATGATTAGGCTTCAGGCATATATATGTATCTCACTCTTACTACTACTCTTCGACAATTATGGTATGGATTTTTCCGAATATTATTACTAATGCTAATATTATTGCATTATTATAGACTGGCATCGAGATTTTATAAATACCTTTGAAGGGTAAATATGATGGAAAGAAAGAATACCAGTAAAATCCGCTTTCGTTCTAAGATATCGTCTATAACAACACCGCGACACTGAGCAAGGATTCGGCGCGCAGCTTTTATCCAACCGACCTTCTCCTCCGGCATCACTGCTCAGAAATAATTGAGTTATACGTCTGCCAATTTAATTTCTCGAAAATATAATCATTAATGTGGCGAAAAAATAAAGAATAAAGAAAGATTAATTGCTGGTTTGATTCATAACCCGAGTAACATCAAGTGAAGATATTTTAAGCATTATGGTGTTATGTCCGATTTCCGGAACAAATACAATTTTCAGAACAAAGTAATGTAAGTGCTTCTTTTCCGAAGATTATCGCAGTTCATATAGTTCAGTGAGCTGTATTTATAGCACACTGCCTTCTCAGACTTCTTTCCAATTGGTGCCACATTGTGTTGTTGTTTCTTTACTTCAGAATGTTAGATGAAAGTTGAAGAGCAATAGGATCCAGATGACCACTTCATTTTCTGCTCTTCTAGTACTGCAACCGATTCATTTATACTACTGCTAATAGAATATCTGACTTTTATCAGATCTTTTTCAAATCTAACTCTCATTTTAGATTCCATGAAATAAGGGCTAATCAAATTTTATTTAATAACAATTGCATATTTTATTAATCTTTTTTGTTTTTGTTTGTTACCGTTTTTGTTAATCTAATCAATCTTTCATATATTCCCCCATTCAAGAAGATCTGTATTTTTCCAGATCATTCCCTTTTCTGCGAGGAAGTCGCTGAATTTGATATTGTGTTCCATGATGGTTTTGATGACTAATTGAAATTGGCTTGTGTTATCGCTTAGTACTAAGTTTAGGTATTCATATCGAGCGATGAATCTTCTAAAACATGTAGGAAATTTTTTACAAATAAATTCTTCACTAATTCTAGATGAAGTGTTTGTAACGTGAAATAGTGAATAATGCAATCCATCTTTTCGTCCCATTTCATTCTTAATCGAAATAGGACATAGGTAGTCAAATCCTACATGAACGAATGTTCTGGATCGTCTCATTTCCGAAAAATTAGGGTAACTGGTAATTTGAATGGTTGGATGTCTACTGTTTACAAACCATACATTTGTTTAATATTCGTTTGACTTTAGACCTGATCTTGGTATCCAAAACTTACACTTCCTCTGACAGTGATGGATCGTCCCGACATAATACAGTTCTTCATGTTTTCATTGCATAAGAAATTTTGTCATTGGATTATGTCTTGGGAGATAAATCGGATGCTTACTATCTTCAGCCAGTTTTGAATTTTCTAATCGACCTTTAGTTTTTCACTCCATAGTTTTTCACTTTCGTTGTAATAAGGATTTCATTCATTTATTTCTTCTTCAGCTAATCCTTTAGATTGTGATTGCCCGATTAGTATCCATTTGACTAGTTAGTAATCATTGCTGGTAAATCGATTTTTCTAAATTGGTATTGGTTATATTCATAATAATTTATTAATAAGTTATATCCTTCGTTATCAATTTTATGAATTTGAGGATCCACTCAGTGGTCCCTTATAACTTCATCCACTTACTAAAATGATTTCCAATGATCAATGCTTTTTGATGGAATTACCTTTCTGAAAATGTTCTTTGAATGCACTTTCCATTGTGGCAAAGTTGATTCCTCTTTCTATATCAGTTCTTTCCACTATGGTTCATATTTCTTCAGTTTCGCAAAACAAAGGCTTTTAGTTGCCACATCAGTTGGATTATTATGGATAAAATATAACGAAAGCGAACCCTTGCCTTTCATATTCCTTCACTTCGATTTTGTAGAAATGTTAGTAATAGTCGAGAATTATTTTGATGGATCCATTGTAACGCATTGAAAATTTGACCATAAGGTTGTTTACATATTTCCAAGATACATTTGTTTTATTACGAATTGAGCAGCTCTAACTCCGATGAGTATTGCAAGTAATTCCCACCGAGATATTGTCATTCCTTTAGACTGATGCAATTAGGAATTTAGCGAAAACCGAAAATGTTTCCCTTTCTTAGTTTTGTACATCTATGGCTGCTGAATGCGTAGTGGTTGGTACATCCATGAAGATGTGAAATTGTGATTGCTCGGAGAAAATTGTTGGAAATCTTTGTAAATCTTTTAGTTTATTTGGCCACTCGTTCGCAGTTATCTTCATTCACCACTTTTCCACAACTATTTCCTTAATATTTCTGGTATTACTGAATAACGTTGATCAACAGTAATTTTTCTCGCAATAAAATAAAGATTGATCCCAATCATATTCGTCCCTGTAAACTAATCAAATCAAATCTTTATTTCATGATTATATGACTTCTTTATAGTGAAAGATTTATCATAGTTTTCGGTTGGTAAATCTCTTATAACCTCGTAGTCAAGCTCTTTATAAATTTTGGGTTTTTCCAGAAGTTTTCGAAGTAATCTATTGTTGCTCCACAGAAAATAACTCGCCTACAAATAAAATTATGCAATTTCAGAATAAACTGAAGGAAGTAAAAAATGTTTGCAAATCGACGAATACTGTTTTGGTTTATTTCCTAACAAGGAAAATTAACATTCATTTTGCTCATGTAAAAATTTGCAACTGGTGAAATAGTGTGATACCTAAATAGCTACATGATGCTGAATGGCTTGTAGGCTTTATTCTGTGTGGTCTAATCCTGGAAGGGCTCTTGCTCTGTCCAGTGTTCTCTTTCCCAGTATTGCCTGTTGTTTTGACTATTTTATTGTTATTGCTTCACTCCTCGATGAGAAAATAAATGAAAAGTTGCTGCAGACTCACCCTGTCCGCTTATACTACCCATTGGGCGAAGTCTAAAGTTCATTAAACCCGAACTGAGGTCGTGGTGAAGCCCACGGAAACAATTTCCCTACTCTCCTTATATCTTTCAGCTCGCCCTCTGGATTTGTTTGAACCAGTTGGTCCCAGTTATGCATGTCATGGGTGTTTGTTCGGAGTGCTACCTTTGTCAAGTTGACATTATTCTTTTTTAGAATTTGAAGAGATAGATGCAGTTGGAGAAAAGAAAAGAGAAGACAGCTAATGGTGGCGTAATATGTCCTTATTCTGAGGGTCTTCCGCATGTGGTTCCTGTTTGCGACGTGTTATTACATTTGGCCAAATGTCGTCGTTTATACTACAAACGATATGGTGTTAAGGCAGAACTAAAAAGGTAAAGTGACAGTTGTAAGAAATAGTGCCTTTCGGTTAGTTGTACAGTTTCAGATGCAAATATAATGGTTGCCATTATGTTCTTGCACCGGAAGTGATGCTACACGAACTGACATGCCATAGCAGAGTACTATATCAGGAATGCAGGCGGAAGATGCGATATCCACCTGTGCCCCTTCAAACCGTCACTTCTTCCTCGAACTTGAACGAAGGAGTGAATTCAGATTCGGATAGCCGTCTTAATCTGATGGTTTTTGATTAATAAGAAATTAACATTGTAAGACGTTCCACACATTCATCATCTTCCAAAAAGATATTCATCATTATCTTTCCAAAAAAAAAATTGATTAATAAGAAATTTAAATTTTACTATTGTTGTTGGCTAGAAGATTGAATGTATTGTTGCTTTGTCATGGAACAGTAATAATTCACTCTCCTTCTTTAATGTTGTCAGTGAATTCTATAAACGATTTCTAATCACTTCTTGTTTTCACTTTGTAAATAGGAATGATATCATTGATTAATTGAAGTGATTCAACTGTGAAAGGCAATGAACTTCCTTTCGTTTCCTGGCATCAAATGAAGGAAAGGATGGAGGTTTAGAGGCGCGCATGGAGATCTTTGTATTCCGGATTTTATTCTACATTCATTCGTTTTCCAGTCTGAAGGGAAATCAAGAGTCTGCTTACTTTCAAGTAAATGTAATCTATAACTGGATTTCTCAGTCACTGATATATAATACACTGCAATCCTATTTGCATCATAGGAGACAATGTCATTGGCGCCACCATTCGGGAGAACTTGTAATCAGCAATGAAGCCAAGCGAACGAGCGGTTTTTGAGACACCAATTTTTGCTGATGAGAAAATGCAATAATTGAATGTACCGGGATAAGACGCAATCGTGTTATTCCCAGTAGTTCGATTGACAAAGGAAATACAGAGGCTAGTGAGAGAAATGAGAATTAATCGGCCTGGAATCGTAGGTTCTGCTATTTGTTACTACGAATATTACTTCTCACGGGGAAGAGGTGAGAGTTTATTTTTAAATTTGGAATTAGCCATCGACAATGGCCGGTCGACAATTTGAAGCTTGATCCTTTCAGAATTGTAATGTGAAGATCCTAATATGATAGAAGGTGCTCCCTACTTATCAAGGTAATGGAAACTGATAACGGGCTATTGGTAATACTGAGTGCATGCTATGACATCTCTTCCCACTTCTACTCTTGGCAGATGCCCTGATTGATGTCTGTCAATTCCTATTCCGTCTGAAACTGTTCATAACATACGCACACACATACAACACAGAGACATAATAGAGAGAGACAGACAGTATAGTGGCGATGTTTGTAGAATTGTTGGGAGAGTGTGGTAGAGTGTAGGATGGACGCACGTGAATGAAAGGATGACACGCGCGTGTGTGGCCAGTTTCCGGGAGAGGAATGATGGGAACTTTGCTGACGTTTTGAAGGAAGCATTTTTATTCGTGAATTGTTGTGACATTCATACAATTTCTCGTATTCTTTTCTTCTGCGTGTTTATCGATCCCTGCAAGCGTTCCTGAAATCAGAGTCGTTTGGAACGGAGGTTTTGTCCAGCAGCTTGGTCGAATAGGCTAAATGAATCAATTGTGTAGACTTATTATTTTTGTTTAATTCAATCGGAAAGAGTAAGACAGGTAGGAGGTATACAGCAAGGGGGATGCACTGAAATTTTTAATCAGCTTAATAATTGAAGTATAAGCATGCAGCGCTTATTCACTTTTATGAACTGTACAATGAGTGTTTCAAGATCGTATCGAACAGATCAATCAGGTTACTTTGAACAGCTTGGTAAATCATTAATATTATGGGTTAATAAACTCGTTGTAATTACTGCTGATCTTGCTTATAAATCATTATTACTAAGAACTTTTTCGTTTTAATTTCTTTTAAAATCGTGTGTATTCAAGGAATTGTCACAGAAATTTTAAAATTTTGAATTTCAGAATATAGTCATGCAAGGGTTGCACCGTTGCAGGGTTGCATCGTTGCAGGGTTGTATCGTAGTGCCACTGCTTTGCTTAACTTATACTCTCTTATGTGTCTGGTTCTAATAGGTTGATTGTGGTTGATCCACAGAAATGATAATGATTATGGATATCAACGGTAGTGATCCGCTCCAGACAAAGAGTACAATGGCCAATTTGTAAGTATCTTCTAGAATTATAGCGCCTTACGAAGTTTCAAAAATTTTGGCTATTTGTCTTATCTGAATATAATATGTTGGATTTTTTCATTGTTCAACTCTAAACTTCATCGAAAGCTCGTAATTCCTTTCTCTACCCAATAACACAAAACTCTATGTGCTAGACTTTATCCCTTTCCTAAATAAACCTTCGTTTGAGGTAACTACCGTTCGCCCACTGTGTCCGTACTCCTCTCCCTATTTGGTAACCATTGATGCTTAAGAATTTTTTAGTTCTTCATCGGAAACGCTATTTCACGGTTATGAGGCAAACACATCGAACAATTCGCATGAAATCAATAATGATATCTATGTCACGAGCACTCGGTAGTTTTTCTTGCTACAACTGTAGGATATACTACTGCTTCTCACGTTCATTTTCACACTATCGTCCTTCTATTAAATGATATTGCAATTATAATTCACCATGTATTATTTCATTCTTCATTCCCTAAGAGACGTTAAATGAAAAAGTTTTGCCTATTTTTTTAAGCGATTTAAAGTTTTACAGATGTATTGAAGGGACTTCACAAGCATCATACAGCTCGACATGTTCCGAAAAATTTGAAGCAAAACAAAAAGTTTGATTAAATTTGTTATTGTTACAATATATATTCATTCATCATCCCGAAGGAATAAGCTCGATCTAGTTAATGCTTTGAAAAATTCATTCTCGAATTTGGTTCATTTTGATTTTAGGATGGCGGATTATACTGGAATTGTAACATTGCTGACCAGAGTACTTATAAACATTCCCACTTAGCACCTGGACGTACCTCTTGTGTGTTCTTGGAGATGGCTCTGAAACGATTATATGCTCGAGATGATTTCGATGTACTGGAAAGCTTGGGCGAAGGTTTCTTTGGTGACGTGTATAAGGTCCGGTCTTAATGTGCCTAAGAAGAACATTGAACGCGCTTAAGACATTTTTGTTACAAAATAAGCCCTTGATATGACAAGTTTATGTAGAATTCGTAGGAGGACAAGGGCTAATAATAAAGAGCAAAAGTTTGGTTTTCTAAACACTGTAATAGATTTTTCTAGGTACAACATCGATTTACCGGGGAAATTATGGTGCTGAAGGTCGGTAAAAAGCGAGAACGGGAAAATCGAGTACGGATTAAGGCAAATGTGCTAAAAGAAGTTGATGTGTTAAATCAGTTGACGTCACACCCCAATCTGTTGGCCTTTCGGTAATACATCCATTTTTTCTATCGCTATCAATTCAAGTATGCTGTAATTTAAAAAAAAATCGTTCATCAGCGATGGTAATTAAACCTAAAAAAGCACTTATATTTTATTAAACGGTGCTATTTTTTAGTGGTGTTTGCGTTGATTTATCAGAGAAGTCATGGAATTTACATATACTTATGGATTTCTGTGATGCGGGTAGCTTAAGTCGCCTGATATGTGATCACCAAAAATGTTTCCGATGGAATTTACGATGCAGTTTAGCGCGTGATATTTCATATGCTATGAATTTTGTACATTCAAAAGGCATCATGCATCGCGATCTCACTAGCATGGTTTGTACAGCTTCCTTCATAATTACGATAAATTTCTTAAGCTTAAAAATAAAAAATTAGTGACAAGAGTATTGAAATATTTGAATAGAAATGGGGGAAAGGGATTGAGGGATGGTCGAATGAATCTTTGATTTGTGAAATGCGTTTCTTTTTTTCACAGAACGTTTTGTTGCAAAAAGTTGCGAATGGCAGTTTAAAAGCAGTGGTAGCAGATTTCGGCTTATCATGCAGAATCCCACGAATTGTTGAAAAGCTGACTCAAGTCGGTACCCCGTTCTGGATGGCACCAGAGTGCCTTAAGGAAGAATTTTACGATGAAAAGGTTCATTCTGTGCTTGCAAAATAAGAGAAGGAGATATTCATTGTTCATTTTTCGTATCGCAAACGTTATGTAGATTTTTGGATGAGAGGAAGTTAAAAAATTCTAAGTGATTTAGGCAGATGTTTTCTCCTTTGGAATAATACTATGCCAGATGATAGCAAGGATTGACGCCGATCCAGAAGCAGGGCTGTACCGAACTCATAATTTTGGCTTAGATTATGTTCGCTTTACAGCCCACTGTCCAACTGACACCCCTTTGGATATTTTGAACCTGGCATTTCAGTGTTGTCTGGTAAGATATTAAGTTCAAAATTTGCTTTGTTAACCATATTATATTACCATTCACGATGTACTTTGTGTTTATTTTCGCTCCTACATTAATGAAGATTCATTATTATCCATTGCAGATGGATCCAGCTGCTCGGCCCAGTTTTAAATCTGTCTGTAATTTCTTTACCAACTTCCGATTTTCACGGCATAAAGATTATAGCGAATTTCCATCGCGAATGGTTGAAAATGATGGGCGTTAGTATTTACAGAATTTTTGCCATATAAATTCGTCCCCTAAGCTCAAAGTCAATTTCTTATCATGTCGTTCGTAGTTTTTTTAATGTACTTCACTGTTACAATCAGCAGATCTTATAGGGTTGGAGCGTTCTTTGTCAGATGCAACTTTAAAATACTGGAAATTGAAACAATCAGAATTATTTCCAAATATTTTAACTCGAAAGGAGCAAAATAGTGGAAAGCAAAGGTAATTTATTATGCTTGTGAAGTAGGAATAATCATACGTATTATCTTCATCAAATTTCCTGCAATTCTAGATTATTTGCAATTTTCTGCAGTAACTCTCACTTTTTATTACAGTATTTTACACTTATTACCAGGTAGAAGTTTAGGTACATTTTTTTCATTATTTGTTTCATTTATAGTGAGTGCAAGTCAGTGAATACAGTTCCTCTTCTGATTCTTCAAGAAGGTGTGCCATATGAAGATCTAAATCATACAAACAAGGATGAGGAGATGAGAAACAAGTCGCGAATGGAAGAGCTTGCGAGAAGCGTTGCTGTAGATGAACTTTCTGATGAGGTATTTCTTCTGCTTCCTTGAAAAATCAACACTCAAGTACCAGTTTTTTCTATGCCTAAGCATAGTTTAAACATAGAAAGTCAAAAAAATATGATAGCTTAACAGTAATAAAACTTAAGATTTTCATCTTCAATTTTGTATCTTTGAATGGTTTGTTTTTTCTTCACTTCTATTCCTGCATTATACAACCTTTCAGTTGAGCTTCATTGAATATATTTATGAATTTTTAATGATGAAGCTGGAAGGACTCCGAGATGAAGCTAGAAGGACTCCGTCTTTTTCAGATGTCCTTGGATACCGGAAATCCGTTCATTGCTCACAAAATTTACAAAACAACTCGTAAATTAGCTTTCCCTGAAACGAGTGATCGACGATGTGTTGTTTCGGATGTGAAGGAATTGGATGACACCAGTGTAAATACGACTAATTATGATTTAACGAATTATCGGTATGTTAACGCTGATTATACACCGTCCTGTTCATATATAGAAGAGATTTGTGTGAAATCCATAAACTATTTCATTTTTGAACTTGTTATCAAAGACGAGTGAAAGTTATTCTGCAGTGTCTTCACCACTCACATCAGTGAGCAAGCAGCCAATAAAAAGAAGTATGGTCATCAAAGAAGAATCTCAAAGTAAGCTGTCGTCTGTTGACATTCAACTGTTTCCTAAAGCTCTTTTTTTATTCCTTTTAATTGGTGATGTTTAATTGGTATTTTTAATTGGTGAATTGGTGATATTTATTCCTTTTAATTGGTGATGTTGATATTGAAGTTGAACAGAAGCACCAATACTTGACATCTTTCCTACTGAGAGTTTTTAATTATAAAAATTCAGAATTATTCGTCGCAGTGCATCACTTCCAATTCCATCAACGAATGCATCGTGGATAAGGCATTGTGCAACATTTGATCCATTATTGCCATCATCATCTACTGGCTTAACAACGGCTGTAGTCGGGCAACGTGATAAAACTGATCATATCGGTGAACACTGTGTATTGAAAGGTCAAATGTCGATGGCGTTCAAAAATAAAGATCAGGTAAATTTATTCTGTGCTAATATACTATTTTTCAGTATATTAGCATATTACTATTTTTCATGGTCTGTGTGTGATACTTGTCCGTATTCACATGCCTTGCAAAGAGAAATGCATTCTCATCATTCTGGATTAATTTCTGCAATACAGGTTTGAGGAACTTGTCTTGCCATCATTGAAAGGTTAAACAACTGTTTATTGTTTTATAATTTTTTATTTAGAAGTTCACCTCACGTCGATGTCGGTCAACTTTTTCGAATAAAACATTGCTTAGTCCCAATTTTGCGAAGAATCAACGGGCCAAAGATTTTTCCTTATCAGTGGACGAAGAGATTTTAAGCCATGATATTAATGAACTTACTTTCGAACGCTGGAAAAGTGACAGTTAGTTTGAGTTTGTGCCGAATATGTAACTAATAATTCCACTACCATAGAACCACCTGTCAAGAACACTTTGAGCTATTTTAAATTTAAGGCTGAGTGGTTGAGAAGTGTGTTTTTCAGACAATTCTGCCAACTTTGTACAGCAAAGCAATGATGTGGTCATACAACAGCCCTTTCCAGTAGAGTTATCTATTAATAAATATTCTGTAAGACTTTTAATGATTTTAAATATTTTTCATTTTATTGCTGAGGATTCGTTACTAAATGAGAAAATAAAAGATAGAACTGTTAAAAAATGGACAAACTGATTTTTTTAGTGCCAACAAAATGAAAAAATTGGGCTTTGTTATGTCCTACGAATACGTAAACCTATTTAGAAAAGAACATTTGTAAACAGGACATCATTATTTGGAGCCAGAACTTCTAATGATGAATTCAGTGGCGGGATACAACGTATATGGGAAGTCGACTACAACAGACGTGGCATTCAGGCATATTTTATTTCAGTTCCGTAAAACAGAGTTTTAAACTTACATACTTTACATAGGATCCAATAAGTAATAGTTAAAAGAAAAGCTCTGGTTGATCCTCAGCTAGCATCTCGCGTTACTCCTTCCTACTGCTACCTTCTTGTGTTTCCCGTTAGCCCTTACATTAAGATGATTCTCTTTCTTCCTGTCCACGTTCTGTTTACTATATTCTATCCTTTTACTTCGAATAAGAACATTTCCGGACAGTTTAGAATTATTTTAATCATTATTTATTTATTTTATCACAGTTTCTTTACTAATTGTGACAGATCTTCACTATTTTTAGGTGATACGGAACACAGTTGTGCATAAAGGAACAGCACACGATACTACTATCTTAGATCCTTTTTGTATAACAGGTCCGTGCAGTAAACACCGGATAGCGCATAGAGATGATAGACATGTTCCCACCGATGACGAATATTGTGTTGTTTTATGAACTGATGTGATGTTAACATAGTTTTAGCGGTGTACTACGAAACGTCGTCTTTGCTGATTTCTAATATAAAGGTACATGCAGCAGAAAAGGAAGATAACCGAAGACACAAAGCTGAAAAAAACGAAAAGGATTATAATGGGGAATGATGAAGAAATCTTGTCAAATCCTAAAGCCTCTCAGTCTACCAGCTATGCTAGCAATTCTTGAAATAAATTAAGCAATCGGCATTGGTTGCATAATTGCATCATTATGACGACAGGGAAGATGTTGGTGCCAATAGTAGAGATACGTTAATTTATGTGTAGATGCTCAGTAAGATTGTTGTCATTGTTATTATTCATTATTTATTCTGTTGTAGCCGTCATTTGTCTTTTAATGTCTCCGTTGAAAACTCCATTATTAACGGTCCAAATGCTGCCACTTCGTTGTCGCTTTCTAAAATTACGCATTGCCAGTTGAAAAGTAACATTATCTGATCTTTCATCCATCTCCCTGTGTTATTTAACTCTTCAGTTCCTTTGTCATGGAGAGAAAATTAAATAGGATAAGAAATCATTCTTACTACAGTCACTACAACCCAAGTTAGTGTTAAGTGGATGATGAACAATCTTTTTAACGGGTTATGCAATTATGCAATTAGAAATTCAGGCATGAAGTGCGTAGTTAAGATAGGACAACACTTTAGTCTCAACAAATCTGTACTGTTACTGCTGTGACTGAAAAACGCTTTTTATTGGCCAAGTAATCTTCCTTCAGAAGTGTTACTGGAAGAAAAACACGCTGTTGTTATTCCTGGAACAAGGAACATTAACCTTCAAATCTTTTTTTAATATTTCCTCATGTCATACGGACTAAATCGGGACCTGTCGCACATGATCAGAATATATTACCAGTACTTGCTTCTCTCAGCACTTCTTTAGTTGTTGTACTTTTTAACCATCTATAAAGACAAGTTTGTATACTGAGAAGCAGAAAATACAGCGGCCTATGGGGACATATAAAATCACAGGCCTCCATATTTTCAAAGATAGCTTGTGAATCAAGATTTGATGTACAGAAATATTTATTACAGTTCTCAGGAAACCGGTATTACGTTTCAAATTGCAATTAGGATGTAGTTTACATTAATAATTTTAAAAATAATTGGAAATGAAATAATATTTGGAATTCCTCGAAAAAATTACTACTTTCTGATTAGGACGTGCTATAAAACCCATAATAAACTAACGCTTGAAGGAACGATGTTGGATGAGAAAACCAATTTTGACAGAAAAATGTGCATAAAAAACGTGGTTCTATTGCGCCTCACATATCGACATTTTCATGGGACATCCTTGGTGCCATGCCTATCTTAGTAATGGTCATGCGCGTATGGACATTCCTCATATAGGGCACAGATGTCAGCTTTCAAACTCTTCTGTCAAATCCATTCACTTAACAAATGGTTCAGCTGCTAATATCGTACTTCAAAATGGACATCTTTAAAATTACAAGATTTTTCACAATAAAATATTTTTAAAATTCAAATCTGATGACAAATTGAAATTTCAACTAAGGTCCTGAATGTGTCGAGTCAATTCTCACCAATTTCATTACTATTTTCTCCTTAATCCGCTCCTCATTAGCACAGTCTTTATATAGATCTGTTGAAGGTATGGCTTAGTCAACAAGTTCTAGTGTACGCTGAAAAAGTGGGACAATCTCAGCATCAGGTGGTCCACATGGAAACTGATCATCCAGCATCGGAACTAGCTTATTCAACAATCCAAACTGTGTCTGAAGCGTCAGTTGTTCGTCAATTAATAACTTGTACTGGGTGATACTAATTTCACCCTGCTCTACTTGCAATATCTTCTTCCAGCGGATAATATCTAAGGTAATAATCAATCTATGGTTGTACGGTCGGAAAAGAGGTATGATGACCGGTAATTTGTTATTATCGAACAGCATCTCGGATATCATTGTGCTATACATTAAATCGTGCGAAGTATTTGTGGCACTGGTAGACGTAATGCTCTCTTCCGAGTGACCATTCCGATCCAAATTAGAATTGTTAAAATAGAATGCTTCCGGACTGGTAACCAAAATTCCGTGACAGTCGGCAGTATAAAGCTTTATTCGACTAGCAAAATTTTCATCCGGTAAGAATTTAATTAACTTCAGAAGTACAAGCTTGCGGAATTGCTCCACATTACTAACCAATGCACATTGAGTGCAGCACGATTCATCCAACTGTTGCTCATCAAAAAAAATTGGTAAGAAAGCGGTAGTCTTATGTCCACGGGCAATAAAGTAAAACAAAAGCTTAACCAATGCTTGCACCGGATATGGTCTCATAATTCTGAATCCCCGACGTACCTTTCTGGTTGTTTTCACCCGCCGGACGTAATTCTCAAGGCAGCTTATATGACCATCCAATGCGTACTTCTGGTCGTAGCTTATGCCAATCAATGGCCCATCGATTACAATCTGCTAATTGTTCTCACTCAAATTCTTGTAATTGTATAGCCAGTCACAAAATTCCCAGCAAATATGGTCAAAAAGGAACTAACCGGTCGCAACAATGCCCCCGCCGTACGCTCGACTAACGATCGCTTGATGTTTTCAAACGATATAATTTTTGATAACTCCACATCACACATAACATGTCTGCTATTAGTATTATCACCCTTACCAGCACGCATTTCCATTGAAATCCTTCAACGAACCTGTAACGTATCGCCAAAATCTAGAAATTTTTAAAAAATTTTTGCTACTATAAACTTCTTTAGAGAAGTTAGAGATCGCTATTCTCTCCTTCACTGTTAATAATAATACATGCGCGGTGTCACAACAAGCGGCTCTTTTATATAATGATTTCCAACTAGGAACTTGAAAGCACAAGGCAAGAGATGACCTTAATGAAACTGGTCAGCAAAATGTATAACACATAAAAAGTATTTATTAAACCATACACAAGAGATCATACAATAAGTGATAAAATAAAATGAAGAAGTGCACCCTCAGCATTGAAAGTTATTGCTTTTCTTAGGAATGATGGGATTCTTAAACATTTCCCCTGGACCAGACGTCTCCCTGGAATTAATCATTAGTTTCAAAGAATAAAAATAGGAGTGAAGAATGCACTGATCCCTGCTGCAAGAAAAGTTGGAGATCCTGGAATAGCAACAAAGCGCAGTTCATAGAGATTTTAATTTTCATGAATTTTAATTCCTTGACTTCACTGTCACGCCATTCTATAACTTCCCATGTGACATAATAGAAGAAATATTTCTTTTCCAGTATATCATTTACTGTTAACAAGAAAAAGCATGAAAATGCAAGTCAGAAAAAGTAGAACAATAATTCAGTAACGATCAACTGAGAAAACATCATTTACCACTCACCAAGCTGATGGGTTTTCATGAGACATTCGAAGAACCACTGAATTCTCTACTGATATTTTTGCCATATCAACAATCTCAACACCTCAGTTTTTTAGCACATCATTTATACACATTGAAATTCTCATGAAAACTAGGAATTTTTTGGAAATGAAGCAAACAGATGGCTTCTGTATTAAAAAAAGATATGCAGATATGCAAAAGAAACATTCAGAAAACTCACCATCGACTCATTGAGAGAGCAAGTCGAATTTTCAATAATTAATGATTCCATACCAGATTTCGATATATTTTCTATAGAAAACGGCTGCTTTTAAAAATCAAAATTCGTGTTTTATTAGTCATCACAGGTTCAGAGAGTTCAAGCTCAAAGCGTGGGACTTATGTTAGAGAGAAACAGAAATTAGAATCTTAAATAAAAGCAAATTCATATTGCAAACAAAGTTATTTGTGCAAGTAAGTTGTTTCACAGCGGTGAATTTTTCAGATAATATATGTTGTTTCCAAAAATATATTAATACAAACCGGAGGCAACTGATGTTTTTGACGTTCCCACATTTCGTACCAAATGTAAACTTTTGGATGAAGTAACTGATCGCAATACAGGAGTGTTCATGTCGCTAAAAATGAAACAGTTCCTGGAGATCAATGTTTTTCTTTTCGAGATCGACAATAAGCAGCAATATATCTCCTTCTATTTATAATAATTGACTTTATACCGGATGTGACCAATAATACGTTTCATAGTGTTTTTTTCCAATCTAGCCAACAAAATTCTCTTCTTCAACTGATTCAGCGACTTACTAAGCTTTTGGCCCTCGAATTTCACTTATCTTACGATACGTCATATCAAATCATTTGAAATCTTCAAAACTGTACAGCAATTCTGCAACCATTCTTGCGAAAAATCTTATCGAATTTTAGAGTAAGAAATCAAATATGGCAAGATAAAAAATAAGCAACGACTTACTCAGCTGATATATTGCTATGCTGTGAAAGACCAACTTTACTCATCAGCTCCCTGCAAATTTTAGAGCTTAGAAGTATAAAAATATGAAAGCATTTCCCTCTTCCTTCTGAAAAGCAAAGTTCTAAGATCATACCTTTCCAAAGCCTTTTTCTTGTGTAGAACTTCGAAACAAAACCGACGAAGTTTCTCGTAATTAATTCGCTGAAATTCGGAAAAACAATATAATGATTCAAAAGGAAATCAATTTAGTTAAAGTGCTATGCAGATGGTGCGTTCACATGACAGCATGAAATAACCTGAGAATCAGAAAACAGCTTAAAAAAAGACATGTATTTCAGAAAATTTCATTGAAGATAACAAAATAATACTTCTAAACCAATTGAATCATCCTTTTTAGTAATCTCAATCTGCTCTCTAGCATCTCTCCATATTCTTACATTAAGTTGAAAGTCCAACTCGGCTAACAAATAACCTGTATTAATAAAGATAATGAGCTAACCATCATATTAAAGCGCTTCACCAAATATGCAGCGTGCATTGTTTGAAATCTGATTACTTGCATAATTTCAACCATTGATTCAGCTAATAATTCTCTGGGACATCGAAAATATGTTTGAACCTGGAAAAGATTCAACTGGAATAAAAACCTCGAAAGGACGATATCAGCAAATGTTTAATTTAACGAATTTTATGATTGCTACAGTTAAAAGACGAACCGTTTGAGGCATATCGCGGCTAATCCTGCAAATTGTAATCTTCTTCTTACAGTACATACATATACGGGTCACATCTACAATATTTATTAAATGAGTGGATTGTAACGTTGACTACGATGAAGTTAGTAGGCATATGATTTTCGCTTTAAATCCGATATCATTTCGTTCTAGCATGTTCACAACGCAAAAGCGCGAAAGCATTAATTTAAAAAAGTGAAATCTATAGAAAAATAATAAATATCACAAACTAGACTAACCTCGGGAAGACGTAATTAAACATTTGTTACAAAATATGTGACCGCATTTTGTCAAATAAAATGAAACACGTGAAGATGAGGTTGATGCTGGACGACAACACATATTACACATAATCCAACTTTGTCCTGGTATAACATTGTCTTCGTTCGACATTTCCTGGAAGAATTAAAAGCACCCATCGGATTGGGACTTTGACTCAAAATCATCATCAAGATCATAAAACATCACACATCCAGCTTTGTGCAAATCTTATCGTCATTCGACGCAACTTATCAAATGTCGTCCGTCAAATTCTGGAGGATAAACGAAGCATCCAATGATGATGAATTTCGATATTCGCGAGAAACAATAAGAGCAATATATTCTAATGATGTAATAATATATTTTAATGATATTGAGAACACGATGAAGCGATAATGACATCTTAGTTTAGGGTATATAATCGTATTTCCTTCGTTATTACAAATATTTAAAAAAGCACAGAAAAAATATCGAATACAAAGTGTAACAACCACCCTTACACAGAAATACACTCATTGGGTTAACGCATATGTCAGTTGCATTTCCTTCGCACTCAAAACGCAATCAACATTTGATACAGCAAAAAGAAAGGAAAATATAATGAGTACTTTATATAAAAACAAGTAAGCACTAAAACTATATATATCATAAATTCTTCAACTTTTTTCTCGGATACAAATGGCTCAAATACCAGCATTTCAGAAGAGTTTTCCAAGTTCTACAAATATCAATGACTTTTTGAGATTTGAATTCAGGTAATGAAATTTTGTTTTCGTAAATGCATGCTTTTCTCACAAAGCGATAAAACAGAAAATAAAAAAAGTACAAAATCCAAATCATATTCAGCACTTCTCTGAATGGATCTCACAACTTCTAAAAGATACCAGCAAATAATTAGATAACCAAAGTGATTCATGTACTATAAGAGGTATGTTACAAGAATATCACAAGTTAAGGATTTCGAATACGACAGTTCTCTGCTCGCAGGCTATTCTTTTACCAAGTTTTTTGGCTACCAAGAGAGCACCTCCTAATGCAGGTGTTTCCGGAAGGGTGTAGAGTGTTACTTGTCTAATTCGACTGCCATTACTTTTGAGTCCGCATATAAAACCTACAAAAACATGATATGAACCCGGGAAAAAGATCAAACGGATCTTGTTTTTATTCTTTTTGAAAAGCCTTCTCACAATATATATGAAACGATCAACCATTTTATCAATCACATAGCAACCTTACCATCTTTTAACAATTCCCAACTTCGCCATACGGAACCAATTAGTAGAAGCGGAGCATTGTCGAGCATTTCCTGCAAGAAAGAATGGTTATAAAACAGAAAGATTAGCTATATTACTGCTTCTGGATTAGACCGACGACTGGAATTCATCAACCTCATTGAAATTTCTTGAAATAGCTCGCACGTGTAAGCCAAGCTGCTCACCAGCATCGCGGAAAACATGTCGAACAAGTGGATCATCATTTGCTTCTAAAAAACAGATAAATTTAATTTTCACAGAATCCTGTTCCAAAAAGTCGACCTTGTTAGGCAACTGCTAAATCACAGATAAAAATGCCCAAAGTAGATCACAGAAGAGAATATTTAAAGAAACCTTTCGCTACGTGAGCAGTGAAGGATGCTATTCTGGATTTATCGAAATTGGTATACAAAATCTCCAAAATACCCGCTTTGTCACACAGACCAAAAAACTTCAGAAACAATCGTTTTATTTTTGAAATCGGATGAGGCGACGGATATAGCCCATCTTCCTCGTCAAATATACATTGCATTAACCTTTAATCTTTTTTCTAAACAAAATACAAAATTTTAAATTAATACTTAAATAAGAAAAGAGCAAATTCGAAAAATGAGAACTATAGAAAGCGGTACTATACAAGGAATCTATCTCACTGCGCAACCAGCACAATACCTCCTTGCAATCCAAAACGCGCTACCACCGTCGCCAATTTGATGTCCCCAACCGCCAACACCATGAACGCTGCTGTCGGCCTTTAATAATCGACAAGTTGAACCAGTTCCTGCGACGATTACCGCACCACCTATAGATATATTCTATTCCATTCTGGGTAGACCAAAATACGTTATGCGACATATCAAAACTTCAAACTCAGTTAAGAAAATTTGGATGGCCTCTAGTTTGTCTAAAGCTTATTGGCTAGTGCGAAACAGAAAGACATAACATGTTCTCACCATTTTGGAATGATGCAGCAACTGCAACGACAGCATCCGAAGACAGCAAAAATTCTAAAGCAATGTCGCCATGTTGATCTTTCAAAAAATCAACTAATGTTCGATTGTTTTCTTCATTTTCAGCTCCCGAAAGACCCATTCCCTTAATGTGGTTGGAGACTAAAATTAATAATTGCCAAGAAAGATGTCCAGTATCTTTTCTAAAAATGTTATCGCCTCAAATTAATAAGAACAAACCTCGAGCTCTAAGCTGGCTTTTGTTCAAAAAATCTATCACCAGTATAAAACAACATTCTCAACGAAATCATTACCACAGCTGCAAGGGGACCAACGATACCAACTTCTTTTTTGGCCATTTGAATCCATTTTGCTATTCTGTCAGCAACCACATCGAACCCATCAAGACAGTAGTTCAGGCCAGACTGACTCCACTCACCATATCGCTTACCGGTTTCATCAATAAAAAGAAGTCGAGAGTGCGTTGCACCACTGAAATCTATCACCAAAAATGAACAATGTGGAGAAAAGGAGGACCATTGAAATTCAGGTGATAAACAAACCGAATAATATATCCAACCCACCTAACAACAAACTCATAATTTAAAAGATAAAAAATACCCTTCAATTCCAGCGAATATTCTCGACGCTTCCATAAAATCTGAAATAATTATTATCAAACCTTTAAAAATAATGTTTACAGCAGTACCCATTTGTTTTATATTTTATACCACTCTTCACAATCTCAAAATTTCTAGCAGCATTCATCCCCCAAATTCCTTTTATTTTCAACTTTGCATTTACCATCTCTCATCTACGGCTAGGAAAACCGCACTCTTTTCGTGTAAAAGTCGTGATTTTTCCATTCTTACTTTCATCCGGCAATAACACAATAATATGAAAACAGGCCAAATCTTTCTGCCACACAACATACTTCAAATTTTGTAGTTATACCTATCATACAATTTAATTTCATCTTTAATAATTTATAAGACATCTCCAAATGAATCATGATTCTATACCAAAGTTTCGGACTCCCAGTTTATTTAGGATAACAGCCCAAAAGTTTAATTTCTTATAAAGTTATAAATGGAAATCGCAAAAGTTTTTGGCTTTTTAAATAAAAATAAGGATTTTTTTGCTAGTTCAGTTAGCACCGCTGAGCAGTAAAAAATGAATTAAATGTGCTTGGTTCAATTAGAAAGGATAAGAACTATCGAGCCACATTGGGAATATCCAGTATTTTTGTTAACGAACGAGCTATACATGCCAGTCGACACACAGGAATGAATCTTAGAAAAATACAGATCAACGAAGCCTGTGAATAATAAATTAGAAAAACCGATTTAAAAGAGATGAAAGCATAATGATGAAAAACAAATGCATATACACAAACATACATAGTTCACTGTAATTTATATAATGAAGTTTTAAGGTGTACTATCGGTAGATTGAACCTCTGCATTTCTTTCATGGCTTTTATAATTCTTCAATGTCAAAGAGAATTCTGATAAAAACACCAAATCCGGTATGAAAATGTCAATGCAGTCGGAAAGAGAATGTTAATTAATTTCATGGTTAAAAAAATATGTAAACCTCACTCCTTGTACATTAATCCGATGAAACAAGGAAAAATCTACAAAATGTGATAGATGACCGCGAAAAGAAGCAATGCAAGCACAGTTCTGGGTGATACATTTCATAAAGATTGGAGTTAGATCTTCGAAGCCTGAGCATAAGAAAAAATATATAAAAAAAAATATATATATAAAGGATAGGACTTCATGCCTATCTTTTATATTTTTCCTTTTTTCTATATTTGACCCGTACAGAATAACCCTCGATGCTAACTTATATATGTTTACATTGAAAGTCCAAAATGCACCGATCCTGGCTTGGTATCATTTCATGCTTGTCTATGAATGCGACGCGTCCGTGAATGCATGTAACGCATTTTATATTATTGTACATGACTATAAACACATATGTTACAGAAGAGTTAGTGAATGATGTTGCAATAATTAGCAAGGCTTACTGCTAATTTGTTCTGTTCCCGTCAGAGTAGTACTGCAACTTTGAGTTTTGTGAATCTAAACAGATGCATTCACAGATTCAATTCGGACAAAAACTATCATGTTGTACTCCCTAAACTGAACCCAAGCATAATTTCATAACGAAGTATAAGATCTGTGAAAGGCGATGTAATAAGGTCAGAAAACATTTGCAACCTGATAATTTGATCGATATTATTGAGGAAATTGTTGGAAAAGACTAACATAATATACAGACGAAACGAAAAGAGAGATATCAATTCAGTCGGACTAATTTACCTGTTCTAGTGAAAATAATCCCAATGTGAATTGTATGAAGATCGGTGTCAATGACACGTACACGTCTACAGCATAACTCCTTCAGTAGAAGCAAATCCTCGATCGACCAATTACTGCTAAAAAAATTATATTTAATAGTAGCAAGAAAAAGAAATATGTCATCAAATTTAAGACACCTATGTTTTACAAGTGACACTGTTGAAGTCTATTATTAATCAAAAAACAATTTAACTTCATAAAATTAAATAACTATATCTCCAATTTGCCAAAGTTTATCAAGCAAGCAGGTATCTCATCTAATAAGTAAGCTTTTCAGAACACTAATTATACAACAAGTCCCAACTAGAAAAATTAAAAGAAACTTTAGTTCACAATCCATTTCATCTATTTCAGGAACAGCAAAGAATGAATAACATCCCCGCAAATACAACAAAATCCTACATTTATCCCTACAGATAAAATATAACGAAATTCACCAATATTTTTCCTTTCCCCTAAAAGGAGTGTATACTCATAAAAATCACAATAATTTATCATCACTAATTAATAATATTCAACATTCATTATTATCAATATTTGAGAGACATGAGTAAAGAAAAAACGGCTTTTTCAGATTCGGAACTGGCGTTTCAAACTATTTCAGTTCGAATAACAGAGAGCAAGTGAAAATGACTAGCCAAAGTTCTACAACAATCTTGGAAAAGTCACTCGTAACGGAACAACTTCCATGACCAGAGCTTTTAAAGAAATAACGGGCAGCATCGCAGATTGTAATCCACACAACAGTCTACATTGGAAAAAAATGAAAGAAGGAAAGATGAAATTGAATCCATTTTTCTTTTGACGAAACATTTCTACATGATCTTACTACATTGAATATGTGCACTGCTTTGTGAATGTAAAAGTCAACATTGATTTCATCGAGAAACAGCAGTGAAAAAAGTAAAAATGTGCTCATATTACAGGGAAATCATAACAATCAATTCGTCCGGACTAATTTAATTTGCACAGAAGCTTCAAGCTGAACGTCACCATATAGATTATATATTTTTCTGTCCTTCTAAATACAACAAAATATTCCAAGAGGTTTCCGAAGGCAGCACAGGCTTGAAGAAATGACGAAGAGAGCTATGTAGTACGACAATGAATGATGAAGAAAACGAAAAGACGCGTGAGATCGCATAACCATACACACATCGAAGCACACATCCCCTTCTACATAGAACTTTTTCCTACCATACCAGACCTTAATAAAGAAACGTTTTTGATACTGCAGTAATGTTGCCCAGTGAAGTAAAATAAGGAGTTTCATTGAATAAAAGAAGGAAAGTATCTAATGATTAATCATTACTTCATTCTTTGTGTATTTTTTTCAGGGCTCTCTAACTGAAAATGCAAAATGAACAAACAAAATTTCAGAAAGAATGCAACAAAACGTATCAAAATCCAAATTAACTCTTCGAACAATTAAACATTGCTTCATTCTTTACGCTTCAACATGAATGTTTTCATTCTCAGTAAAGATCAACTTTATTTGTACGATGCAGAAATCTAACAGAGAAAAAGCGAAGGAGGTCAACTTCTTATTATCAAAGCTTTTCAATCTTTGGTAGGAAAGGTTCAGAAAAAGGAAAGAAATAGATGAATAAAAAAGGATGATAACGATTCAATCAAATAATGTTACAGGAAGTTCAAAGGGGCTTCATTGAGGAATTAGCAACAAAGCTTCGAAGGCGAAATAATTTATATTTCAAAGTTAGTTTTTCTTCTGGTTGGTATAAATTACATCAAACAAATATGACAAACTTTAACTCCATATCTCAACTGAACAGGATGAGATCGAAGATCATACTGATCGAATGAAAGATAAAAGACGAACGCATGAGATATCAGAAAGAAAGTAAATGATAGGTCGCAAAAAAATAATGGGTTGAAGAATGACAGCTTGGGACAGTCTGCGACGCTCCAATAACAGTAGAGTAGATGAACTCAGTCCTTTTGATATCATCAAATGTTTGCTTGCTTTTTCAAATGAACAATTTTTTAAAAGGAATTATTTAATTAGAATAGACAACTCTTTTACTGAGATGCACACTGCTAAGCATCTTGTCTAAGAATAATGAGACAATTTTAAGAGCAAAGAAAATTGAATCAGTTTTTCAAAACAGAAAAGTAGACAAAAACAAAATGTTGCGAGGTGCGATTTTATTAAAAAATAAGGAAAAAATGCCACAAAAAAGTCCCATAAAAAGGGTAAAAGTTAAAGCCAAATTAATAGAGAAAAAAAAGAAACACCGATACTCTCTCTCTTCATAAGCAAATATGCATGCCGCTTTAGGATACTGTTGTAATAATGACGCAACAGTGTCTATAAACGCTCCAAATACCGTAATATCGTAGAAGACATCTGCTGCTAAAATGTAATGCAACACAAGTACATCATCCAAAACCTGATTAAGGTTTGATCCATTCCAATCTAAATCCTGGAAAAAATTGAACATTTTATATGCATATAAATGAATATTCTATCGGAGTAGAATTAAGAATATTAATAGAGCGATGGAAAACAATTCAAAGTCAAAAACACCATGTAAACAGGAAGTACACTGTGACAAACTCGCCAATTTCAACAAAAGATTTTTTTTCAGAGCAACCAAAGTAATCAAATCTGGTCATTTTGCTATCACAGTGTGACGGTAGAAACTATTTTAGCATTAATAAATATAAGATTTCAGTGATGCTTCGGGTGTCTCAGGAAAGCAGAAAAAAGGAGTTTGATTTGATAAAAAATGAAATAATCTAACTTGCCAACATCAGTACGTACAACAATTGCAGTTTTTCTACAAAGAACAGAATTATTCAGTCCATTTCAATAATATAACGTTGCTTACTTTTATTAAGAAAGAACTCTCGTCAAGGTCATTCCTTATACAGTTTTGTTTTAAGATTTTGAAGGCCTGGAATAACAAATGCATTAGGGCTCTTCCACCAATTGAATAGAAAAAAAACGATATTGAAACGATTCAAAACTTAAAAATTATAAACTCGACTCTCTATGAATTTCTGTCAAAATTAGAAAGCAAATTGCTTTAAATAAAAAATGTGATTCAAGACAAGATGCTTGAATCGCACTTGTCCTATTTCTGGATAATTTTTGAAGCGATATAATCGATATAAGCGAAAATCATTGAGGCACTACTAACTGCTATTCAAATATACAAAACTTTAAAAATACATTATAAATATGGTCACCTCTTCGCTTTGAGGATGATCCGTAAAAATAACCAATTTGGCTCCACATTTCGCCGCAACTAGTCCCGGTATTCCAGTGCAACCAGCGCCCAATTCAAGAATTATCCGTCCTTCGAATAGGTAATGATTTGCAGAGATATAGTCACCTGGATCGAGATGGTTTTATGTCATATAAAGCGTACATCTGATTATATGTTTTGAAAGAAGAATCTATTAAACTAAGTAGTTAATTCTCTCGTAATGTTATATACTTAGTTATCAAGCAGAGGTATAAAATCATAATTCCAAATCTTCCATGACAATCCCTACGAAAAAAAACCTGCAAGGTGCGTTGACAAAGATACGATTTTGCAACTGTTTTCGATGTCTATATGGGCGACAGATGATGCATGCTTATCTGGTTTTTCACTACTGATAGTAATCTTAAATTGATAAAACAGCTACTATGTAAAATCTTTGGAAATTCCTTAATTTCATGATAAGAAATATTTCCCCATAAAGACTGATATTAATCGACAAGAAATAACAGAGAAATTCTTGTGGTCTCCAGAATCATTTGGATTTATGCACATCTATAAATCAAAGACTGAAAAAACTCATATCTTGTGTACTAATTTTCTGCATCGAAGAGTATGCAGTCCTTATTGGAAGTTTAGCCATAGCTACCAAACAACATGATATTTTCCGCTTACGATCTAAGTCAAAATGAGAAAAAATGGCAATAACAAGAAGATGAGAAGGACAGAAAAATTAACCATTTCAGTTTTATGTTTCAAATTAAGAAAACAGTTACACTGGAGAATAAAAATTAAAAGCCTTGATATCGTCTTTCTTCGCAATTTACTTGGCTTTTTTCAAAAACTAAAGATCTCATGAAAACATGAAGCATTTCATAAAAACAAGCCACCGTATTAAACAAAATATTCATGTCTTCATTTTTGCCGCTTTTTGCAACAAAAGTAAAAGCAAGTCAAAGCTATACGCTGTTAATCATAATTAAACTGTTTCTTCACAAGTAAAGTTATAAGGATTAAACTAATTATTTCTTATGAGTGAAAGTTGATAATTAGTACAGCGGCATTCATGTTGATAATAATTATTTAGCAATTTCTCTTCGACTTAAGCAGACATTTGTGTCAGAAACAAGCCCATAAGCTTGATCATTCATGCCGCAGGTTGACTTTATAAATAATTTCATCGTTGAATTACATAGTCTAAGAATATGCCCCAGAAAAAGATATTTAGAGACCGAGTCGAGAACAAGTCCGGTATTAAATACGTGTAATGATTTAGGATTTGGATTAGATATTGTTTACAAGTATGTGTGATGTTTAGATGACCAAACTTCAGCAGGAGCTCTATGAAGATAGACAGAACACTCAATAAAATGGATACTGCCAACTTATATACAAATCGAAATCACTGTAGACTTCACAGATTAAATTTCCGTAATTTCCTGAATTACGAATTGGAAATTGAAAGTATGACAAACCAGAAGTAGGAAATTCGTCAGAGATAGTGACTTGAGAGTAGAAGAAATTAACTGCTTACACAATGAAAATAACTTACCCAGAACTTCACTGCTCTGCCACACTTGTCGCCAATATTCTGTCATCTCATTATCGACAACAGCTCATCATCTTTTCCAGCTATAATTGAGCTATCAAAGTACATTAGAAGATTTAATTTATCTGTCACATATTATTAAAACTAAACTGTGACTAAATATCCTAACCTGTCTGCATTCCTATCTTTCATGGGTACTTCGAAAATTTAAGTTTAATTTCGAACAATAGCAAAATCTCCCTAAATCACCTCAAGTGTCTCTTTTCTCGTGCATCGTGTCTACTCACTTTTATGCATTGTTATGCATAAAATGCCTTATCTTTTTTTCCTTAATCCATGTCTGCATCTCTACCTTGTCTGCATTTCTATCTTTCATCGATACCTCGAAAATTTAAGTTTAATTTCGAGCAATAGCGAAATCTCCCTAAACCACTTCAATTATCTTTTTTCTCGTGCATTGTGTCTGTTCACTTTTATGCATTGTTATGCATAAAATGCCTTATCTTTTTTTCCTTAATCCCACAAATGCATATGAACTGCCACCTCTGTATCCCCATCACCAGATTCACCACAAACTCCAAAGGATTACTGTCCCCGAAGGCTTCATTGTCCTTAGAGCCTCTAAATGGCTTGCTGCCCTGACTCCAGCACAGTTAGTCAATGGGAAGTGCTTCCGTAGCATGCAACTACTCATGAAACTTGTGTACAGGATGATAAGGTGGCGACGGCGGAGTTTCGCTGTCCATTTTGTGCTAATCAGATAACACGTTTAAGTTTCAGGAAAGAAGTGGAGGAATCAGAATGATAACAGCTAAGGATGAGTATATTTGCATCAATTGTTGTCATCCATCATCAAGTCTCTTCCTGAAATACAGTGATAACGGTATTCGGCTCACTCCATGTGTATGTTTACCCTGTGTATGTTGCTATTCGCTAAACCTCATATGTCGGGCATCGGCTTTGATGTGAATGAGGTGTGAAATTATTTAAGCCAACAATTAGTGGTATCCGTACTACTACTTTATGTATAGGTAGACTTACTGTGCATTTGCATTAGCCAGCTGTTACTCGATTTTCTGTTCAATTTCAGTTTAACTGCGGCAAAGCTGTAGACGCGTATATCGAATATGATATTGTCTTGGTAATAATCGATCTCATGCTGCAATATATTGAAGCGTATCGGCACTTCCTGATGAATACTAACAACCGCGTATCCTTTATACTTTTCAGAATGCAAATAATGAATGAATGAATTCTGCCCTTTTTCATTAGTATCTATTAGAGTGCTTATAAAATGTACACTTCATTTATAGTGGTGGCTCCCTATTGCATACTGTGTTGTTGTAGAAAGAATCTTGTTGGATTGTTGATGTCCTGCTCCTTTACAACATCCAGTCGGTCTGAGCGTTAACATGTAATAACAACAATGTAAACTGCATTCATCTTCCACCACTTTTATGGGAAATCCCTCAGAACTTCTCCAGTCGCAAAAAACAATGCAACCTTTCAGTGCATCGAAAACATCACAACATATTAAGACATAAATTGGCATTTACTGATGTCGGTGAATAATTTGCAAACCCAATCGAAATAGTAGGATACCCACAAAACCAAGAAATGTTTTCCGCTCTTCCATCGCTGCGTAGCTTTTTTATTTGCAGTACTGTCACAAGTTATGCATTATTTTTGTGGTATGCAATGCCTACAGCAAATGGATAAGGCGACGGATAATGTCTGGTAATGAGAACGTTTATGACTTGGAATGGAAGTTTTACGAGTGTTTATTGCAAAGTTTGCTGGAAATGGTATCATTTATGATTGTGTTGGCACTAATGTCGCCTCACATTTGCACAACACTTTCCGTCAATAAAACGTTGCAGATATTTTGCGTTGGATCCTATGGTTTGTTACATAACAGTTGGGCGGCTTTAATTGGCTAAGATTAGGATAGCATTCCACTTATATGTGGCGATGACGAATGCAGATTATTTCTAATTAGTAAAATGCAAAAACAACGAAACGGCATACTTACTAACCTATATAGAGGCGAGCATATATGTCTGGCTCGGAAACAAAATGAATTAATATTTCATATGTTGTCTCAGGAAATGTATTTGCTGTTCTATCAGTTATATGGAATTTACATTTTCTATGGTCGTACAGAGTGCTCACCGAAATGTTCATATTCATATCTCATGTGCAAACACAGCGAGGTACTTGATTACTTATTTCATCATACTTGTAAATCTTAACTCTCGTTTAATACTTAGAAATGTATTTCCAATGAGTGTTAAATTTTATCATTTTCAGCATTATGCAATATGGCACTGAGTAGAAGTATTTTTATCACTGTGATGGCCACTCTTATTTCACGTTCTATTGGCTTATTGATATATTCATTCTGCTTTATATGATTTTAGATGATTGGATAAACGAATTCATAATATATGTTGCTTTTAAATACGACATTACGAATCCTAAAATAGCGAATGATTCCGAAAGAAATGTTAGAACACTGTGCCATCACCTTGACATCCTTTAACATTTCGGAGTGCTATTGCACATGCTATGTTGCGGCATAAGATACCACAGATCTTATTAATCAATTTCAAGAACTCGGCAATTTTTCCTCCTTCAACGAAACCAACCATTTCTGAAATTATTTCAACCACAAAATATAAAATGTCATAAGTCAACTTGTGATATTGTCAAAAATGAAATTGTCTGTGGCGGCATCAAATAGGGATTGCATCGGAACTTTCCCTTTCAGAGTGGAATGTGATAACATATGATGGCAATTTCTTGTGTGGCGAGTTGTGTTTCTGCTAATCATATAATAGTCGGAAAATTCAAAAATAGCACTTACTCTATCCCTTCGCCCTCCGTCAGTCTATGTCCAAGTCTTTTCATTTTTGTTCGCCTGGTTACTTTTATCTCTCTCTCTCCCTCTGTCTAACTGATTTTTTAATCTGTTTTCAATCTGAAAAAAATGAGGTTTGAAAATTTTCGATTTTTTGGTAGTAAAGATAAAAGCATTGTCTATCGTAGCTATTTCCTACAAAGCAAAGGAGAGCCCAGTTCACTTCTTCGAACATGTTTGGCTGGTCGGTTTCAGATTGCAAGAAGCCTTATAGCTATCATTTACCAACATATCTATTAATTTCTCGTTGTAAAGTGCATTCAAGAAGTGCATGTGTGTGTGTGTGTGTGTGTGTGTGTGTGTGTGTGTGTGTGTGTGTGTGTGTGCGTGTGGTTAGCTGTATTCTCATCTCCGAATATGTTTCGGAAGTGTGGATGATTTTGAAGGTAATTCCCCAGTTGGTATGTTTCGGTCATTGAAATTATCCTTATTGCTTCAACAGTCACTTTGATTTAGATAACTAAAGGGAGATAATAGGCAGAGATTGTTTTTGTATAAAAATTAAACTTATATTAGTTCAGTTGTGAGATAGAGCAGTTAATCATGTGTATTTTATTAGGGATAGTACGAAAGGTAGTTATAAAAGTTAATATTTATAACTTTATTATTTTAATCAATGTTTTCTTTTTTAATTCCTTTTGTTATATAGTTTATTCTTCATAAGGTTTTTTCTTATAAGAATTATTTTATTGAAAAGTTCAGTTGTTATGAGTGCGAATTTAATGTTAACAAGAAAGTGTATGTTAATTTCAATGTTTTTTTTCTGTTGTTTTGATGTTTATTGTTTTTATAAGAATTAATTAATATTATATTCAGCATTAATATTATATAAAACGAAGGAAGGATGTTTCGTTTGTTTTGCAGTGTATGGTAATAGCTTTTTTTGGTAATAATATTAATGCTGGAAGTGGGGCTGTAAGGATCGGTTTTACTAATCCTATTAATGGTTTTTCCATTTCTAATTTTTCAATGGTTCTGTGAGAGCTATCATCAGTTTTTTAGTTCTTTAGTTATTTTTATACTTTTGTTACCAGTGGTCAATATACCCTTTAAACAATTGGTTGCCAAAGGCAATAGCTACTCCTACTCCTACTCCTATAAGTTATTTGGTCTATAGCAGGGTTTTGGTCACTATAGGTATAACAGATTATTATATTTCTTCTAATGTTTTATCTTTTGTTTTTTTATGTTGATTTTTTAACGCTTTAGTTAAGATAGATGCAAAAGAAGATTTTAGCTTTCAGAACTAATTATTTCTTTAACATTAGGTTTCTTTTTTGGCTGTTAAAAGTGGTTTGTATTGTATTATTTATCTTATGATTAGACAGGCATATAATATATAAGAAGTCATTCTTTTTCTAACAGTTTGTTATTTATGCAAATAAGATATTTAATTCTTATTCAACAGGGTATCGTGTCTTGAAAATTTATACTCATTTCTAGTTCAGTTGCAAATTTTTTTGCCTATATAGATTGTTTATTAGCCTCATACCTCACTCGCCTTTACTATGGCTCTTTTACTTGACTCTTTATTATTGTATATTTGTTTCGTGTGGGGTTTTTGATATCTTCCCTATCTTGTCCTACAGAACAAGGACATTCTAGGCCTAAACTTAAACTTCACTCATTGCTTGCTTAAGTAAAACCCTCATGTATTTCTTACAACAGACAATTATAATAAGTGTAAAATAATTCTTCCGCATCAGCTATTCTATTCCTTCTATAATTAGCAGTTCAACTAATCCTTCCTCGATTTGGATGTTTGTAAATAAGTGGGTAAATAGAAGAATATTCTAATGGTAGGAAAAAGGATTAACTTTTTTCCGGATTGGTCAGATTAAGTAGTAGATGGTAAAACAGTATTGGTAGATGGTAGAAGTTTTTGGATTAGTTTGATTTCTATTTGTCACAAACTCTCCCTCTATGTTTTTTTCATATTTTTGCCGGTATTATTTTCCTTTCATTTCATTTGCTGTAATTGAGGCAAGGAAGCGACATAGGATAGGATGCAGGAATGGATCTGATGTGATTTTGGTGTGAGAGTGTATGCAAGGGAGAAGTACGAGTTGTGGTTTAAGTTTGAGTGCAGACTAGATTAGTGATTAATGATTGGCAAAAAGTGAACAAAGAATGGGTATTAGCTATCGTCAGCTGTTAACTGAAAGAAAAAACCTGTTGCTAAAGCTATGATATTATTAGCACTAATGAGAATACGTCTACTCCTTCAGAGACAATAACACCCTACACTGCTTCCCTTTTCGATCTTCCCAGGAAAAGTGTTTCTCCATTCTCCATTCATTACCTACTATCTATCCCACATTCTTTTTATTCATGACTACATGAAAAAATATCCGAAATTAGTGGTGAGATAATTACAGGTTACACCGGAATGGCACCCCCAGTAATACATGGAGAACCGAAAATTGTACAAGATACTAAAACAAACACTGTCTCTTTAGAAGTGGTGGTATCCGGTTAGTGCCATTTGTTTATTCGCTTCTTCCAATAAAGTATCTTACTTTTCTATCTCTTCACTCCCTTGTAGGTATTTTACCCGAGAAGACAAAGTGGTTTTTGGGTGAGAAAGAAATTGAGCCAACCGAAACATACGTTTTTTCACAGCACGATGAAGGTGGCAAGAGAACTTTGTTAAAATGTGAAATTAAGGTGAGCAAGCTGTTTGGTTTCACAATTGGAATAAGAATGACCGTTTAGCCATACACAACGGTTACTAATCATAACTTAACTATTGCATTAGCATCTTTAGTGGCCGACACTATAGTAACAGCTGTCAAAAAAACCAAGATATGATCAAATTGCTATTATCAGTTCAAAAAGTGAAATTTGCTCAAGTTTTTCTATAAAACAGCAGCTATTATCTTCTGTCCAAGCATCCTTAAGTCTTGTCTGTGGTTGGCTGGATATGAGACCTCCTCAGTTGCGGAATATTGTCATTATAATAATGTAATTTACGTAGTCTATACTTACATTGTTGTAATGTTTCGAAATTAATGCATGCTGAAAATGATCGATGAAACATGGCAATAACTTATTGGGAGCTACAGTATTATTTAAGTTGTTTACCTGCTTGAAATATACCGTATTTATCAATTTATTTTTATCAAGAATTTCGATAAGGAACTTGCGGGCTCATACAAGACGAAATTCTACAGCAGCGATGGTGAAAATAGTGCTACATTTACTGTAAAAGCTGGAAGTAAGTATTGTTCGTTTCATTCATATCCAGTTATTCTTCGGTTATACTTTTTTGATCTTAAATAGAAAAATTGTTAGTAGTAGAGTTGTAAGTTTGTAATGTTGTAAGAAATTAAGTCACTTATTCAAAAAGAGTATTAGCTATTCTCCTAAGATTCCAATATTTCAAGGTTTGCACTAACAAATTTCTATTTTTCGCTCATGCACTCCAACAAAGAAAGCAGCGGTAATCTGATAATGGAATGATGATATATTGTATACAACAGTATGATTAAAATACATTGCTGTCAGAAACAGTAAGCAGGGCTCACAGCATTCCGATGATATCTTATGGCGAAACCACTAACAATTTAAAATTTCTATTGAAAGCGATTACCATAAAACACTGTTTTTTCCTTCTAGATGCACCAGAATTTCATGATAAGCCTCATATAGTGCAACGTGATGGTGGTAATATTATTGTGATTAAGGTTCGGGCGAAGTCGCATCTGGAAATGACAGCTAAATGGTTTAAGGTATTATATCTAAAACCATCCTTGAAAAATCTAAAACCATCCTTTATTCCAAGAGTCAACGATGAAAGTTTGGGAATCTTTGCACTTTCACACTTATCAAAGAAAAAAGAGAAGTCAAGGAAGAGGGAATATCACATAACTTATATTCCCTTTGCCTCCAGTACCCCCCATAAAAATGCACTAGCTTTGTATGCTTCTCGTTACAAATCTTTCATAACGGGCAGCACAGTTTTTGACCAGCTTCACAAACTCCCTACGTTAGAGTCTTCAGATATTGTAAATGAATCTGACCATCAGTCCTGGTTTATTGATTCATATTTTAGGATGATAAGCCACTGCAAGCGACGGATCGAATAAAAATGGTGGAGAAAAAAGATGATAAAGACAAGGAGGGCTTTCAATTCTTATTGGAAATACACGGCCCAGTAAAGGAAGATCAGGCCAAGTGAGTCATTTTTAGGCAACTACTTTAATAATTCATGATGGTTTTGCGAATTGATTGGATAGCCCATAAGCCCACAAGCATAAGCAAATTATAGCTCGTAAGCAAATTAAGCATTTCCCAGCTCAATTAAAGGACGACTAATTAATGAATTTTGATTAAATAAACCCTTCTAATTAATAAATAACAATATTCTGAGTAGCGACCATTACTTAACTGAATGGGTCAGCAAACAATAATAGCTCGATGCTGTCGAAAGAACAGGTTAGATAAATGAAACAACGTTGTTAATGTTACAGATATAAATGTGTGGTGAAGAACAGTGAGGGCCAAAACGAACAGTCGTTGAACCTATGCTTCGATTGAATAATTTCTTCATTCGCTTGCAGCTTACAATTTATAGAACTTATACAGGGACCCTCTTCTCAAACAATCAAGCCGAAGGATTTTTATCCTTTCTGAGTCTCGGAAAATCTATAATCTCTTTGAAATTCAGTAGCCGGTTTTAATTCTTCTAATCAAAATTCGCAATTTCAGAGATTATATATCGTACTTTCTGTAACTATTTCCGTTATCATTTGTGCCATTCAGTTCAGTGGTACACGTGCATATTACCTAGTGCCTTAATTGTTAAATAAAGTTGAGAAAATTTAAAGCTGATGCACAATATAAGTGGGATTTCGTTTCTCATCGATACAAATATTGTACTCTTAAAAGAGCAGCACTCATACCGTACTCGTATATTGGTATCACCTACTGCACTCGTCTAATACCGTAGTATTGCCACCCTCTTATAGCACCTCTGTAGCAGTAATGATATTTCACAGTTATATGATAGCTTCTTGTGACAATCAGCAAGCAGCAATCTATTCTCATCCGACGGGAACCCACCGCCCTATGCAACCACAAGCAATCACCTCATTTTCTCATCTCAATACTTCTACACAAATCTGTCATTGAGAATCCCCGGTTCCTTCATTTTATCTTTTATTTTCCTGAACACACCTTGAACCTTCATCAACGAACGAAGCCGCATTCCCCTGGAGGACGAACGCTGGTTTGAACGAAGTTTAAGGCATCTGAGGAAGGATTAGATTACCCTGTTTGGGGCGTTATTGTTTGAGATTCGATTTTCAAATAGCAATGTCTCGAATTGTTTCCTCTTTTTTTTCTGATCAGTGAGGTTACACTTTCAAACGTGGTATTTTCTTTCCTGGCAAGTAAAAGAATTGCGCCAAATGTAAACAAATAGAATCAAACCATTTGCGCCGTTGTTGCAGGATGGGAAGTGTTGCTAACCGCAGGAGTAGTAGACTGCAGCGCAAATCAAAATTGGCATTAGCCGTAAAAGAATGCAAGAAGGTAGAAATTAACATGAATGACAGGAATCATATATGTTCGGAGCAAGGTAAGGCTATATAGAATGAGTCTCACAATACTAAGCGCTAACATCGCAACAGATTGAATAGAAGCCTAAAAGAAGTGAATAAGCAGGCTTTCAATAGAATCATTAAAAATGTAGTTTTTCCTCCGTATTAATCTAAAGATGATGCTGTTAAATCGTTCAAAGAGCAGAAAATGCGGAAACGTAAAATCAGCGTTAGTTCGGATGATACTGCTGATTCGAATGTTTCGGAGGATGAGTGGGAAGAAGTTGATTTCGCTGACCAAACAAATTATGGAGTAGATCCTGATGGTACGGTTGAAATTACAATTAGAGCTGCGAAACCTGTCGAGACAGAAGGCAAGTGGGCGAGATTTATTAGACAGCAGGTTAATCGCAAAATTCGTGACCGGCAAATTAATTGTCATAAGGTTAGTCTAAGATTGAACTACTTTAGTGCGGATGTAAAAATTAAGATTGTCTCTAAGAGCATACGAATTTTGTTTAATTATTGTTGACTATAAAAGGATATGATGTAGCCATTTACTCATGCTCGTTCATTCTAGAGATTATTCTTTGAATTTAACTGAACACTTTCTTTATGTAAACTAAAATGTTTGCTAGAATTATTCATACCTAACGTACCATTGCTTGCAAAGGTTTCTTGGTTAAATTCAGATGCATCTTCTCTGTTACATTGCACATTTACGCACGTGGGCACGTGCCTTAATACGATATCAGCCATTAACATCACTGTGCCTATCATTGATACCGGAAGGTTATATAGCTTCTGCGAAACATGAATTCGATGTGGCAATAGCCGAGAGATTTATGAAATGGTTTCGATCAACATTCCAATTTACAACGAGAAAACACATCTTCAGAAATGGCTTTTGCGATTCTCAGGTAAATATTCGTATACATTTAACAAGGTCTGTCTCATCGGCGAAATCGATTCGTTCTTTTTAAGATCCAATCGATGAAATTTGTCTAATATTTTTTCTAATGTTTGATGCAGAGTTTTTTGTTCAACTAAATTATAAATTTAGATAAAAAGATTAGAAGATTTAATTGGCGAACGTGTCTACGAAGACGATAAAGACTTGGCATCGGTATGTTTTTTAGAAATAATGGACGATTATAGGTGATAATTGTGCTGTTGGATAATCTTATGTCCCATTTCGCCACATATTTTAATTCTTTTAGCTGCTGTTTTTATGTCTATTATCGTTGAAGCAATGCTGCCGATTGTGTCTTTCATGTCAGCCTATAAGACAGAAACTGGTATGTCAAATAATTATTTCAAACATTCACTTGAAATAAATTAATGAAAATGGGAACAATTCAGATGGTTTTAAGGAATAAACTGATAGAATCGGTTTATTATGCATTTCATAGTTATATCAATGCAAATATCCATGAAGAATATCATATTGTTTAGACAGTGGCTATGTTACGCTCTGAGCATACTGAAATCTTCATTAAAACAAATATTAATAACGACGACAATTCAGTGGTATGGGAGAAGAAACTATATGAAGTAACGAAGAAGGTGCAGATGAAAATAGATGATTGCAGCAAACGTAGCATGAAAAAGTGTGAAGAGATGAAAAGATCAAATGTAAAGAAATCGAAAAGAAGCAGTGGAAATAATTCCGATCAAATTGCATTTACGAACAGGAGAGAGATAAATTCAGGAAGGAATTATTGGGTGGAATATTGGGATGATAGTAATACTAGATGGATTTGTACGTTTTTCCCGGAACTTCTTATTTAATTAGTAAAGCTTAAGAATAAATCGTACATGAAGCTCAAAATACCTATTATTAATATCAACTGCCTCTATTCACACCGAATTAATGAACCACGTTTGTCAACCATCCCTTTGAGCGGATGAGCTCTATAAAATAATGGTATAATTGAAATGGACATATTTAGTGCAAGAGCAACACCAAAATATAATACCTTATGTTCGATTAGCCTCCTGACTTAGCTAATTGTGAAATTTCATATATGAATTTTCAAAATCGATCCATTTCTTCCTCATTGTCTTAAAGCTGGTTATTTTTGTTGAATTCCCATATTTTCATACCGTATTGTTCAGCACCAACATATATTTTATTTAGGTATGGATCCGTGGTATGGAACTGTCGATATGCCTGAAAGTTTGGAAGCGAACGCCACTGTACCGATGCATTACGTTATTGCTATCGATAATAGTAAGTTTTCTACAATGAGTAATTATTCAGGTTGGATTACGACTATAATATATATGAGCTGCATTCTTTTCGTTTAAACAAATTATGCAACTAATGTAGATATGGGTATGCGCGATGTAACAGCACGATATGCTTCAAAATTCTTATCAGCAGAAACTCGACGACTTCGAATTGATTCTTCATGGTGGACCGATACATTAAAGGTTGGCTGGTTTAGCTGTATTTCTTCTCACCTTTTGACTTCATGTATTAACTTTTTTAATTGGTTGCAGATATATCGGAGCAAGAATCGGAAACGTGAACGCATTGAAGATGTTGCAATACACAACGAACTCCTCTCAAAGCCAAAACCAGCAACGGTTGCCGAATACAAAAATCATCCACTGTAAGATAATTTTGGAAATTTTTTTTCATAAGTAAAATTTTTTACTTCCAGATATGTGTTAAAGAAAGATATCCTGAAATATGAAGCGATTTATCCGGAAGACCAAGCTCCTATCGGACAAATTCGAGGTTTTGATATTTATCCGCGAAGTTCTGTATTTCACCTTGACGGTGCATTGAATTGGATGAAACATGCGCGTATGGTTAAGGTACGCATTAATTATCAGGACAGTTTTTTTACTGGAAAAATACCCTTGCTATTTAATTTTGTAAAATATTCCTAGTGAAAAAAAATCTTTGATGTTACATTTTCTTTACATATATATTTGTGCAAAAGCAATTTATAGACCGGTGAAAAACCGTATAAAATCGTGAAGGGAAGGATGAATCATCGTACAGTGTCAGAACTAGGAGAATCACGATCCTTGGAACTATACGGATATTGGCAAACTGAACCATATATACCACCTAAGGTCGTCAATGTGAGGGATTTTTCCATAGTCATTTATATTACTAACATTCAAAGTAAGTTTAATAGTTGCTATTTCTGGCAGTTTTATTAAGCTGAAAGGTTACATTTCAGGAACGTATACCACGAAATGAATTTGGTAATTTATATGTTTACAAAAGCAGTATGGTACCAGAAGGTTGTATTCATCTACGACTAAATGCACTTCCTGCTATTTCTCGTCATCTTGATATTGATTGTGTTCCTGCAGTGGTGGGCTGGGAGTTTCACAAAGGGGGAAATCATCCAATGTTAGTGTTGAACAGATGTAAATTGGATTCATTTGTTTCATCAGTTTTTTTCCTTCCAAATTTAAATCTTATTACCGTAAAATAAGATGTGGTTTTTGTAGTATTGACGGTTGCATCGTTTTGAAACAACATGAAGAGATATTGCGTGAAGCATGGAAAGAATTCCACGAAAAAAAGCAAATTGCTACTGAGAAGGTAAAATTATAAGATTTATTAAAGGATTTTTTTCCTTTTTAAACAAAGCTGACTCTTTCTAGAGGCGAAAGCAAAGAACTTTGAAAAACTGGAGGCGCTTGGTGAAGGGGATGTTAACAATGAAGAAAGTTCGAGCCAAATTTCTGGTTGCAGATCGTCAGAGCATGGTAGTACTTTGTAAATTTCTTATTCAAAATTTAATTTCATATTTACTCTTGATATATCCAGTCTTTGCTCATTTAGTTATCAATTTCATTGATAAATCTCAGAGACACTATTATGACAGGATGATTTTACAGTGCACTGATGAAAAATTGGAAAACAGAGAAAGTGAAACGCCTGCTACAGATGACATTGCTCTATCTTGGCCGCAAACAATTTTCGATTTGCCTGGCGAAAATGATGCTAGCTATCGCTGAAATGACTTGTTCTTCAAATTTATGTATTTTGATGATTAAGTTCAATTTTTCAAGTAGCTGAAAATAAATTGTGGTATTGACTGTATAACAGTAAATTAATGCCTTATTTGAAGAAGGAGGCGATAATTGAAACAAGACGAAGACAATAAGTAGGTTTCTTCTAATTAAGTTTTACATTATATAAATTCCTTTTGTATCGTTCTTCAGAAGGAAAACTCTTTATTTCAAACATTTTCTTTCTACTTGTATTTTACATTATACTGATTCAAATTCATTTTAGTATGGAACGTTCTTCAATTTGTTTGTTATTCTCCCTATGTGCTACCTTGATTTGTTTTTACCCAATGGCTTTAGACATTTTTCTAATTTAAGCAAGTCCTTTCAACTTTTCTGTATCAAACGTAGCCATTTCTTAGCATTTCAAGTTTTATAAATTTTGCTTAGTCGTTGTTCTGCGTATAACTTCGACGAACAATTATACTGTATACTAAAAGACTCAACTTTGGCTTGAAATGACATTTTCACATGTTGGCTTTTGAAGCCAGATGGTTTGAATTGATAACGTAACAAATCCTATCAGTATGAATTAGAAGAAAAAGTTCCATTGATATTGTAGCTTATATTCAAAAGCCGTTATTGTGGGCTACTAATACCGTTCAAAGCTAGCATAATTAGTATAGATTTTTGTACCAAATAAACGATGATATTTTGAAGCTTTCTTGAAATTGATTTAGTCAATTGAAGACGTGGTAAAAACAAAACCAAGCAACAATCTGCTGTATCATTAGAAGGAATTTAACGATGAAATTTACGGAGTGAAGTTTGGAAATTTTGGAACAATGGTCGTAATTAGGTCCAAATCACTGGATTTGTATCTCAGTGATACTTTCCTTTGTAATAGTACTAGGCTGACTTTTAAATGAACAATAGAATGCAGAGAAAACTACACTGTTGTAGTAAAGTTTGATGGCGGATTATAGTGGAGATGGTATGGTAAATGTTGGAAGTGACATATACATTATTGTACATTTCTAAATTTGTAGGGGTAGTTTGTGATATGGTAGGTTGGCAATTTCGACTGACACCAAAACAAGCAGCCGCGAAAATTGTTGTTGTTATTATTGGTCTAGCAATTGGAGCATATGGTGTGGCAAAAGTCTATAAACCGCTTCAGGTTAGCACATGCAATTCACGCTGTAATATCTTAGGGATTTCTGAAATGTATGATAGCGTACTGATCATAGTTTGATATGTCATTCATAGTGACCGTAGACTTTGCTGTAGCTTGTCTGCAGCTCAATTCTTGCACGGCAATTCTTAAATTCGATTGTTCTGCTGTGAAAAGTTTTTACATGGTCAGCTTGAGCCGTATCAGTGGTATAATGTAAAAATTCAAGAAGTGAATCAGATGAGGAGCCATTTGTGCAGTTAATTTAACTTCACTTCCATTTGCAGGGGTTTCAGGACGAATTGGATTTGCGCAAAGGTGAATTGTTACGATACTATAAAGCGAAACATGACGAACGTATCCGACAAGCTACCAACAAGTCAAACTAACAAATATCTAATAGGTGTTGGTGGCGATGGCAGTTATCATGATCGCTCACCTTCTGATTCCTTATTCAAACAAACATTTAAGTTTTACAAACGGCATGATGTGGTGCCCAGTTTCTCCGAAGTTCGTAATTTACGATGCTCTTTATCTACTCATGGAATAATTTGCTCAAAATTTGAACCAACTGTGGTACCATCGGATGTAATGTTGGAAAAACTTGGACTTCGTCCAGTATCAAATTGGACTGCTTCAACTATTACTCATCGTCCGGGTATGGTAATGTTGAATGATATTTTTGAACCAATCCATCATCTTCACTGGATAAAACGCTCATTGTTTGTTTACACTGAACCGCCTGGTTTCACCAATGTTGGCCTACAGGTTCCCAATGTTCGAAATGTAAGTTCAAATGTTTGAATTTATAAATGTTAATATCAAATGCTTTTAAATAAGAGTGGTGCATTAGTGAACAGAAATAGTCTTAAGGGTGTGGGGAGCTGAGAAATCTGGAAATGCGCATAACTTTGGGTAGAAATATATCAATTTTAGAATTAAATCTGCCAACACAATTCCAAATTCTGTAGTTTTCTTACATAGTTTTGGGTAACTTTTCGTCGATTCCAATTTATCAGAAAAGCTTTTCATATACATTGAATTTCAAACATTGTAAAATTATAGTGCGACATTTAGATACATTAAATATATTTGGCTAATGAAACTGTTAACATATGATCTATTCACTACCGCCATTTGTCATAGGTATTCAAAGAATACAGGAAACAATTGCGCTGGTCCACTCTTGGTCTCCACTACGATTGGGCAACGAAAATTTATCCTTTTGAGGGTAAGCATTTTTCCGTATCCTTAGATTTGAAAGAATATAAGATTCATTTGAATTAGGAAAAATACAGTGTCGGTAAAATTAATGTATCAAAGTCAGGATTGGTTTTTTCAGGTGAGTCACTTCCTGAGGAGCTGATATTGCTATCGAATGTTCTCTCCGAAGCACTTGGTACAGGACCGATGTATGCTGATGCTGCTATCATAAACTTCTACTCAAGAAAATCAACATTGGCGCCACATATTGACAGGTTATTTATTGCATAATGTTCCTCCGAGCAGACCATATTATCCAATTCAGATTAGAGCAAAAATGTCACTATTTATTAATTTTCTAAATTGTCACATCAAATGTTGCGAAAGTATAGCTTTTATGAAAAACCTCTGTAATGTATCTTTTTCTTTGTTTATTCTTTCCGTCATTTCAGATCGGAACGAAAGCTATCTTCACCACTTATTTCGTTAAGTTTCGGCCAGACCGCAATTTATCTGGCTGGTGGAACTGATTTAAATGACCCAATTGATGCATTTTACATACAGTCAGGTGATGTCCTCGTCGTTTATGGGCCACAACGGCTCATATATCATGCAGTACCACGGATTCTACAAGATAAAAAATTCGAAGATAAAAATCAGCCTGAAGAGGTAGTGAAATATGCAAATGAGAATCGCATCAACATTACACTTAGGCAAGTTGATGAACACAAGTAACCGTCTCAGTTGTTGGTTGCGCAACTTAAACAATACAAAACTATTCTAAAAATTGTCGTGGAAATGTATTTAGACCATATTCATATTCAGCGTGGTCTCGCAAAAAGTTTAATTGAACGAAGATTACTGCATAATAAATAAAAATACCCTTCTTATTTCCTGTCCCTTGTTATTGTTATAAACGAGTTCCGGTTTATTAACCGTAATTATAGTGGAATTTAGAAAGATTTAGTACTAGAGTAATGGAATAGCACAGACGACTTCTATAATCTTAAGTTTCAATAACGAAAAGTATTGATTGATGCTTGGTGTATATAAAGAATGATGCATAATGCTCGGTTAACTTATACAAACATTTCGAATTTAATACTGAAATGGGATGGATGATAGTTGATTTGAAATAAACATTGTTTACTGAGTGTTGATCGATGATAAAGTTAGTCAATACATCATTGTCATATTATCACATAACAACATCGTCTTAATAGAGTAATTCTCAAGGTCGGGGATGACCGAGAGATAAGTTTCACCACTGTCACCTCCGTTTGCCGTTCCAAAACTCGCTATTGATCCTGCTGTTCGGTGAGTGTTAATTGCAATACGGCTGCAACGAAGTGGGGTGATTTCGGTGCGACAATCCTGGTGGAATTGCGCGCTACTCTGGTGGCGGCAATTTTTAATATGATGTAAGTATTTGCCAATCTGTTGCCGGGGTAGGTAGGCACCGGTTGGGTAAGTAAATATTTGTAGGTGGTAAGGGATAGTGGTGTATGTGCAGGTTAGATATATTGCAGTGAAGTTGGTCAGTTCTTTTGGAGAAAATGTTTGAAGCAAAGCTGGGCAGTGCTTCGACGTTAAAAAGAATCGTGGATGCCATCAAGGATCTCGTCACAGATGCACCGTTTGACTGCAGTGAAACTGCCATGTGCCTACAGGTTAGTAAAAAGCTCATGATAATAAGAATATTGTAGGTATATTTCCATATTACATTCCATTGCAAGCATGTTACTTGCAGGCAATGGATTCATCGCACGTTGCATTGGTGTCACTAAAAATGGATGTTGCAATGTTCGAAAGCTATCGTTGCGACAGAACCATTAATCTTGGTCTTAGTTTAGCAGGTATGGCAAGGGCGTTGAAATGTGCCAACAACGAAGATACCTGTTTGATTCGATATGAAGAAAATGACGATTCGGTGTTATTCCTCTTTGAGGATACTAAGCGGGTATTTCTCTATACTTTTACTTATTCCATTGTATGTTTCCATAATACCTTCTTTTATTTTGGCATTATAGGATAAAAATCAGGAAGTGGTCGTCAAAATGATGGATATCGACAGCGAGCATCTTGGCATTCCGGAACAGGACTATTCTGCTGTTGTTTGTATGCCAGCTGCTGAATTCCAGGTATGTTAAGAGAATCCAGCTCATAGTTTAACAGTGGCGCATATTATTCAGTATCATATATTACTAAAAGTTGTTTTTTGCTCTAGAAAACTTGCCGTGATTTGGCAATGTTCTCGGACTCTCTGATGATAACAGTAACCAAGGCAGGTATTGTGTTCACTGGTAAGGGTGATACTGGCTCATCCACTGTTACTTATGCTCCCTCAAAAAATGCCGACGAAGAAGAGCAACAGGTATTTTTCTTATATGTATTTTCGTCATTGCTTTTTATTTCGATATATTACTGAAATAATTTAAGTTAAAAACAAAACTTGTTTTTCTATCCCAGCAACAGCACTCTCTTTGTTACAGGCTGTATCAGTGGACGTGAAAGAACCCGTTACAGTCAATTTTTCCATCAAATACATGAATCATTTCACGAAGGCTACGGGACTTTCTGACCGAGTAATTTCCTTTTTTTCAAAAATTTTCTTATACTCTTTGTGTTTCATATGCCACCGTTATAATGAAACCCTTATCCATCACACAGTGACATTTCAGGTTCGTCTTTCTTTATGCAATAGTGTACCTGTGGTTGTGGAGTATGGACTTAGTGAAAATGGACATTTGCGCTTTTATCTAGCTCCGAAGATAGACGATGAGGACGCAGATATGAAGTAATCACTCAGATTCTGCGAAATATTATGGATGTAAACTAAAACTGTTATCCCACAGTGCTTCAATGCAGTCATTTTTCACCGGTCAACTGTGTCGTGTGAGCTGATCCTTTCGTGACTCCCGTTGCCTTCCCTATTATTGTTTGAACTCATAGTCATGCAATCATTGGTTTAGTCAGTGTCTGTCTCACTTCATTTTGCATCTGTTGGTCTCTCATGAAATTATACCATAAAGATCGCGACCGTTGCGTGTAGTGAAAATTATTGTTTGATTGTTGGAGTTGAGATAATGCAGACAAATGTGGTTGGGATAAAGATTTTATTGGTATTGATGATACTGCTCCCCAAACCGAATCGAGGTGCATTATTTAAAGTCCTTTTGGATGCAAGGAAAGCTAAGTAAAAAAAGGGTCAGCTTGACATTTTACAGCCATTTAACACACGAATCTTTTGAAAACAAAGAGAGGTAAATGGTTAGCTTAACATATTACAATCATGTAACAAAGGAGGTGCATTATTGTAACAAAGCGAGCTAATTGAGCAAACGATTAACTTAAATTTTAAGATAATTTAAGCCGTTGACAAGCAATCATTGCAATACAATTTATTTTGTTGTTTCGGCAAATTATAAAGTTATTCCGGTTTCGCGATGTTCCCTACAGAAGGAAATTAGTCCCTTAACGAGCAAGAATTGGAGTTTTAGCTTGAATTCGACGTTTTTTTGGCTATCGCTATTTCCCTCTCTTGACCATGTTTTGGTATTTGGTTCTGGTTATCATTTCTCTTGCCATCATTTCGTGAGGCATTATTAAAAATTTTGATGAATTCTCAACAGCTCTCAAAGCGCGCCTTCATCACATCACTTCAACAACTTGATGCCGCCAAACCGTTCTATCTTTTAAGCTTCAGCTTTCTCTGCTTTTGACATATTTGGACCTTGCTTGTGGCGAAATTCTGCATCATCATCTATACCAGCGCTATCGTTATCTCAGCGTCACTACAAGTTTTTCGTCCTCACGTTTCTTTTGTTCCGAAACTGTCAGTATCTGCACTTTATCTAAGCTCTCATAACTTTTTTGATCGCGTGTTGGTATCTCGCATACGATTTTTGTAGGGTTCCACTCATCTTTGAATGCGGAGTTCCTTTTTTCAACATCTTTTCATCTACGAACCGGAGTTCACTCATCGTTGTACACATCTTCCACTTCCACTCTTTCAAATCTTTTTTGACAAATGTATTAGTTGTCGTCCCTCAAGTGAGAGTAGTTCAGGAGTTAGTTTTCACGCTAAATCAAGGGAATTTTCATATCATTTTTTTCTATATCATGACATTTATCATCGCTTTCATCATCTTCATCGTCATCATTCATAAAAATAATTCCTGCATCTAACTTAGCTTCGCTATTGAATTCTACGATAAGATCTTTGATGGCGTTCCAGTCAATACCAGAAGTCTTCTTAATTTGATCTACTACTCGATTCTGTTCTGGAATTTTCGGCATTAAAATTTGTCGTCGTTTGTAAGAAATTCTTTTATATCTCTTTCAGTTTGTTCTAATTTCAAATAGTTGATAATTTTTTCGATATGGGAAATAATTGCAAATTGTTATCAAATAATACCAAAATTTCTGCTTGAGTTCCTGTCATGTTTAGGTTAATTGCTTTGATTTCTTTACTTTCCTTGCACTGTTGGCCTTTCTATTGAGTTATTGAAATAGTTACAATCGTTAAACTCATTTTTTCTTCATTTGCTCAAGTGGTTAGCGGTTTATAATTTACATCATTATACATAATTATAATTTACATATATACGTAATTATAATTTACATGTATAATTATAATTATATGTATAATTATATGTATGTATAATTATAATTATACATAGTTATAATTTACATAATTATAATTTACATAATGTAAAGCTATACTGTGAAGACTTTTTTCAATAATGCAATGGAAGGGCCAGTGGGGACAGTAGGAACAAGCAGTAGGTTTGGAACATTTATTATTGCGTTGCAATCATTGGCTGTATGTCCTTTTCTCAGATATTTAGGTAAGCATTATTCCCTCTTAAAATAGTATTGTTTTTTTTTTTATTTTTTAAAATAGCATTATTCCCTTTTAAATAGTAAAATACAGTATTGAAATAGCCGCAGAAAAAGCATGCATAAGTAAGGCTAACGTAAGCTACGCGTTGTATGCGAAAATTACAATAATTATGGTTGCAAAAAATTATTTTCATAAAATACATATTGATCGTGCTGAAGATTGGCATGTAAATATAACAGAAATGAGAAATCAGTGAAGATATGAAGGTCAGAATTCACAAAGTTATTGGTCACATAAGGATTTACAACTTTTGTGATAATTTTGTATGGTAAGTTAGTCAGTCTCATTCAACTTTCTAATATTCAAAATTACCTCACAAATGCATATAAAATGTTTCAGTTAGAAAATACTATTTGTTATGGAAGTTATTTTATTATTTGGTGTTGGAGATAAATTGAAACTTGGAATATAGTTGGAATAAAGGTTTTTTTAGTTTATGGAGGATAAATTCTTATGACATTATTAGATATATTAAACAAAGCATATCAAATCATTTGACTGCGAATGTTTGAGATAAAAAGATTTCAATAACATTGATTTCATGAATACGATGATACCTCGATTATATAAATATTTCATATTACAAAGTTATTTCAAGTTACCGACACCTTACAATTCACGTTGATTACAGCAAGCTTTATGAAAGTCGCATTATTTTTGCAAACAACTGAACTTTACTTATGACAGATAATTTATAAATGTAGTGATGGAAATCATTTATAAATATTACTATTCAAAACATAAAGAAAGATATTTTTGCATTTTTACCAAATATGCTGATTCAGTAATTGAATCATTGCTCTGAAATGTTTAACTCTTTAAAACAATTTTACAAGTTTAATATGTTATTTAAATTCACAAGCAGCACAAGGTTTTTTTTGCAGAAATCAGATGACATAAATTTCAAAAGCTATAATATATACATACATTTATATATATATTCTTATAATAATCATTTGTATTATTAATAAAAAATGGCTCCATCACTATTCTTTATTGGTCTTTAATTATAACGTGCAATAAAATAAAAGCTGAAAGAAGGTTAATCATAAAATAATCTTTATCACGGCTGTCAATAATTTTACTTATTTTATAAAAAAATAATAAGCCAATATGTTCATAATTTTCAATTAATTGATGCTACAAAAATTAAAAATTTCTATAAAAGTGCACAAATTATTTCGTATACAATATTAAATTAAAGGACATAGATGAAATCATTCAGTATCGTACACACTTCGTTTCTATTTATGCAAATTTTACATCACTTGTCACTCCTTTTCAAACTTTGTTAATAATTGTTTTAATAAAATGGTACATTTTTGCAGACAGATTTATTACACTTGGAGCAAAATAATTAATCGCATTCAAACTTCTGACAATTTCAAATTCTCTTATAGTAGTAAATAAATTTGATTAAGTCGTGCAGATTACCGAAATTTTCCAGTACTGAGATAATTCATAGTTTCAAGTAACAACGTATTTAAAATTGCGCCAAGTTGAAATTGCAATAAGTGCTACAACAAATCCTAATTAGCCTAAATAACTCGTGATGACACTCACTATGACAATTACATTCAGTCAGTCATGCAGTCATTTGCAGTCATTATTTTCAATCAATATATTATGCAAACATCAAATATTTCAATTAAACATTGGCAGTCGTATCAGTTTGGCATGAATTACCTTTAATTTAAATGCAGTATATTGATTTATCTGATATCATGATAATAGCTATTGCGTTAATGGAATAATAAAGCGCCTATTGAAGACGTAAACACTACTAATTGTGCAGCAGATTACATATAGAACCATAATAAAGCTGAGGTCTGTTCGGTGCAATGATTGTTACGATCCGACACCTCTTAGAGTTCTCGATGGTGTAAATTTTCTGGCTGGTAGCACTACCAATCATCACCGATCTTCTTCGGCATTTAACAAGCCATACTAGAAATTTCAGATTTTTTTACACAGCATTTGCAATTTCAGATTTTATATATGCAATCGCGATATCAACTCGCGATATCAATTAATTTATAATTGACACAGTGGCCTTCAAAAAGAGCGATGCAAGCAAGAAAAAAAGTGAACAAAATGGTAATTTGTTCTTGCTACTGTATTTTAATGTATTACTGTATTTTACTACTGTGTTACTGTAATTTCCTACTATCATCTTTAAACTGCAACAAAGCAAATACGACGGATATCTAAGAGATGAATGCAGTACGGCAAAAAAAAAATGATGCTTGTATTTTTCCTCCGTCACGTTTGCACGGTATTGCTAACGATCGCACTCGGCATATTTACTGTGTTTAATTTTTAATTTTTGATTTTTCGATCGTTTTCCTCTTTTGCCTGAAAAGTCTATTTCGAATTTACGATAGGAAGTAAATTGTATAGAGAAGTCAGAAGAATTTTATCAAATGATTTTTGCTGCCATTTAACTTTTTCAGAATTTAAAAAATAATGAAATTCAAACTTCGAATTTGCCAAACTATATTTTGATGATTTGAAATTCCTAGAAATAGTAAAAGAAAGAAGCTAAACTTTAAAATTAATCCTAATTTAATTAATAGTTTAAAATTATTTTCAATTTCTTTTATAATTCAAAAAAAGGAAAAAACCGCAATCGTTCATAATTGTTGTAAACGTTCCTTCCATAATACTTTAATATATTACATTCAACACAGTCATTTGGTGAAAAGAAGAATATGAAAAGATGGTATTATTGAAAATATTACTCATCGATTTTAAACTTTTGCTTCTTTACAAAATGCATTTTTACGATTCAATTTCATTTTATCGATCAAAAGGGAAATAACCGTCGCTATTGGAATGGTTTCAAATATGGAAGATATGTGAATCAGTATGGAAATATTTAAATAGTTAGCATATAATTCCCTGTTTATATCTCATATTTCAAATAAAATGTAACATATTGGAAAACTTCAGCTGCTTCAGAAGGAATGAAACTTTCATATTTGGGAAATAATTTTTTTAAGAGAGGGCAGGGAATGAGAAGGAATTTCCAGAAACAATGACAACTAAAAGCTTCCGAAAATTGTTTGCTAAATATTAATTTTGTGCGGAAAGATATTGACAAGAAAGGATTTTGTTGTATGTTTTCAAAATTTCGAAAGATTTATTAACATATGTCATACACAAACAATGTTGATTATCCCGATTTTATCATTAACACTATTATTATATCCTTTGTTTTATCATATGAATTAAGATTTAGAAAAGTTTAAGACAATTTCTTTATCTTTTGTTGAAAATGTATTTTTTATTTGTGATTCCTAAAAATAATTTACCACTCTTTTAACTATTTCAAAGCTGAGATTTAATTTTTTAAGCAAACCAAAACAATGCTATCATCGCTTATTTTTAATTTACTTTATTTTCACCTTTTTTGTTTCATTTTAATATAAAAATGAATAAAGACAGAAGAATGAGTAAAAAATGGCTAATGAATCAAAAACTTGAAAAAGCTGAACACTTTTCTGTTTTATCTCATCAGCTTAATTTTAAGCTCCCAATATTTGTGAAGAGAGTGGTACCTACTTTAAGATTCTTATTCAGCTCAAAATTTTAATGGTGCAAAATTTTACTCCTGGGATTTAAGACTGAAAATGACATATTGCGACAAATTTCTCCTAGCAACTTCGATGAATACAATCAAGAGAGAAGAATTTGTTCTGACAATCAATTTATGTGTGTTAAATATTAATGCATTCACCATATTGACTTCAATATATTCTCTTGCAATTCAAAAACAAAACATTTTGAAGCATTGACATTTCTGCCATTGAAACTTCCAGCTAATTAAAACCCATTTTACATAATAACTTAAGTGATGTGAATTAGAATGTTTCAGAAAAATTTTCGGTGAACAAAACAATGAATCGTTCTTACTGTATTATTGCTTTATTCCTAATATTACCACCATTAAATTGTCACAATGGGAATATGACAGATATTTTCGATATAAGAGATGACTATAATATGTCAAAAAAATACGTCGCAACTATATTGTTTTCTCTAATCCTGGTGTATGGAGTTGTTGGCAATATATTGTTGACGGCGGTATTCTGTAGTTGCAACAATATGTACAGCCGTTCATTCATCTTTATCGCAATCCAAATTATTATTTGCAGCTTTTTGAATTTTGTTACACAAGTAACTATTGTCATACCTGAAATAGTAAAGAAGAAAATTTCTTATTGTAAGTTCTTTTCTTCCATATTATCCACTTATTATCATTTGTTGAAAAGATACAAGTAATAAACTTAAAATCAGATTATTATCTGATTGCACGATATGGTTTGCACGATTAATTAGTGAGATAGAAATGAATTAATTCGGAAGCATATGTGTAGACAACTTTGTATAT